ACTTTGGTATGTTTCCATATTGTCTTATTAATTTAGTACATTCTAATATCATATTATGTTGCAGGAGAAACGAATAAAAGGAAAGGAGATTCAGAGGTTGAATATGGCCCCTCACCGTCTGTCTCGTGAGGGGTATGATTTGTTGACGCAACGCATGATGGAGGAGAAGACTAAACTCCGAGAAGTTGAGTTAGCCTCTTCTGGTGTAAGCCAGGAAGAAATTTCCTCACCATCTCCTCCAAAGCATCATAAAAAATGGAAGAGGGCTCGCCAAAAGCCCTTAAGTGAAATGACATCAGAGGAGGCCCGCTTGATTGCTGAGCGGATTGTAAGTCAAATTTGTTTCTTTCAACCTCATTAACCATGCTTTGTCATTCATCAATTTTTTTTACAATATATAATGCTCAATTGTAGGATTCTTTAGAGGAGCAGTTTACACAGGGAACATTCGTTCCCCGTGGTCGTGAAGATATCTTAACTACTGCTATTGGACGCCCAGAACACCCAGGGCGTGTTCGTGCTATTGGAGCTGGTGTGGGTATTCGAGCATATTTTGGAGCTGCATCATCAGACCATACCCACACCACATCATTGAGCCAGCAGGAGATGCCGAAGTTGGAGGAGAGTCTAACAGCAAAGCTGAGACCAACGATGGTTGAAGAGCTGACAGCGACGCTGACACCAGCCATTACCGTACAGGAGGAGATGATGCGTGTATTTAGTTCAAGTCTAGCATCCATGGGTGTCACACAGCCTACCCACCCACCTATGGATGTTCCTCCTCCATCTGCCGCACGGGTTAGCACTAAGGGTAGTTGTGCTGACCCAAATGCTGCTGATGAAGAGCTTCCTACTACTAATCAAGAGGTTTTGTTGTTGTTGCAGACAACACTGACTACTCAAGTATGTGTGGATGATATCTTCATGACAAAAATTAATGTGCATATTAAATAATTAATGTCTTATTTTTTTGTAATCAGGTCAGTGTGAATTTTATGTTGATGAGGATGGATCTGAACCACGATTGGTGGCGGTTGGTTCAATTGAAGAGGGGGCCTCTACAATTCATAGTGTGCCTTTAGCACCTAACTTGGCCAAAGTGGTCATTAAAGAGGTTCGAGATGCTTCTGCTCTTGTACCTGTGCCCACAGACGAGGTGATGACAGTGGGACAGACCCTCCAGACCTTCATTGCATGGCCTAGACATCTAATAAGGCCTATTTTGAAAAATGTTTGCATATATTTTTTGTTAATTATCATATGTAGTCTCGTATTGTTTTTTATTATTTCTCAAGTCAATGTTATTTTATGTTGGATGTTCAGAAGCCATCCCAGTTGCCTAAACTGGTACCTACTTCCCAAACTAGTAAAGGTAAGGAAGTAGATGTCCCAAAAAATCCAATTTTTCAACTACTATCTGTTGTCCCACAGTTGTATATTCAATCTTTTCAAGTGAAGTGGGATGCAGATAAGTTAGGGGTAGACAATAAGAACTTTCCCCTTTACATTGCCCACACCGATGTTGTGGAGATAGCAGTTGACAGTCAGTGTCTAAACATAGCAGTGTTACAATTTTAGACAATGTAAGTATATATTTTTATTTACTAATTATGTTATTTGAAGTTATCGTCATATTTAATGTACTTTGAACTGACTACTTTAGGATGATGAATGAATTGTCGGAGCAACAACGCACCGAAGATGTGTATGGATTTTTTGAGCCCCAATCCATACAAAAATAGGAAACAAGAGAGAAGAAGTTCAAATATACATCCAAAATTGGATGATGAAGTCAAGGAAGAAAGTTTACTTGGGTGCTTACTTATATTAGTAAGTATTTAAGTGTATGAAATTATTCGCATTAAATTTTATAGTGTATTCTATGTATCCTAACTTTTTGTAATGTAAGCAGAAATCATTGGCAGCTGTTGGTTGTTTTCCCAAAAGAGAATGTCGTGGCTTGGTTCTGCTCATTGGACAAGAGACCTGATACAGATATTAAATACATTGTAAACAGGTACACATTCTTATAATAATTTAAACAATTATTACTCATTTTGTTACTTAATTGTTTCATTATATTTTGTATTGCACAATGCATTTAAGGTTTGCAATACAATTGATGGAGTACACACAAGCAAAAACATGACTCCAAATTGGATTTTTGTTAATGTAAGTCATTTTATATTTATGTATTATATGATTCATTTCATATGTCAAATTAATATATTATTTTTTGTAGTGTAATAAGCAACCAGGATCTTATGAGTGCGGATATTGTGTTATGCACTGGATGTGGCTGATTGTTGTTAGCAAGACTGAGGATACATGGAATCAGGTTTGCTTAAATTTAGTATTCAATTAAATTAAATATTGTGTCATTGGATACTCGGTTAAATTATCTTTTTTCTTGTAACAAGTATTTTCAGACAGAGAAGCATTGCCCATAGAGACCATTGAAGATATTAGAAACACTTGAGCCGATAAGTTTCTTAAAGTTAGAAGTAGGCAAGTTTAGTTATTAATTTAGTAGTTAGTTTAGTAGTTACATTAGTAGTTAGTTTAGTAGTTAATTTACTAGTTAGTTTACTAGTTAGTTTACTAGTTAGATTAGTAGTTAGTGTATTTGTTAGATAAGTGTAGTTGGATACATATTCTAAGTATTGTACTTTGTAATTTTGGATATAATTATATTTTTGGATGCACATTCAATTAGTTTATATCTTGTATTGTGTGCCTGGGTTGTATTCAAATTTGCAGGTACATTGTATACAAACATTGGGATGCCCTGTATAAACAAAGCGGTCATTTAAAAAAAAAAAGACTTTCTACGTTGATTGTGTCAATAACCGACGTAGAAAATTATACAATCAACGTCGGTTTTTACCATAACCGACGTAGTTAAAACCCAAATGCAGTTTTTCTTATATTCAACGTTTCTACGTCGGTTCTATATACCCGACGTTGAAAGTCTACACTTTTAACGTTGGTTAGACATACCTGACGTTGAAAGTCCACACTTTCAACGTCGGGTATGCCTAACCGACATTGAAAGTGTATTCAACATCGCCTTATACAACGTCGAACCGTCGTTGAAGACCTTATATAACTGAAGTTGAAAATCTTATATGTAGTAGTGATTGTAAAACAAAATTTATTAAAAAATTTTAAAACATATATTTAAATACAAATTAATCAGATATATACCTTTATGTTCGTTCTGTTTAATTAACAAATTTTATAATTTAATATTGTCCTTACTTTAAAATTTTAATATATTTTATTTTTTAAATTGTCTGAAAGAATATATATATATATATATATATATATATATATATATATATATATATATATAACTTTTATAAGATTCGTTATTAAGGGTATTAAATTTGATTTTTTTTAAATGAATTGTTAAATTGAAAGTTTAATATTATATATATATTGATGTAATAGATTTTTTTAAAATGTAAACTATTAGATAATATTTTTGTTATTATTTAATTTTAAGAAAATTTGAAATAGTCATGATAATATATAAAATTATATTTTAACGGTTGAATAATTTTTAAGCTTTATGTAAAGTTATTATAGCTACCCGGGATTTTATTTTTTCTCACCTCATAAGTTATGTAGTGCCTTAATGATTTATCGGGATAGACACTCCTAATTTATCCAACCAAAAAAATTGAATATTGAAAACCTTTAACAACCAACTGTATTTATTAATAAAACAATAATCTGTGTAATTAATTATATTTTGATTGAGTCGTCTCATGATTATAATATTAATAAATAAAATTGTGAAATGGATACATTTTAATGTGATTATCTGTATATAATAACTCTTAACACTTGCAACCTCCCTTATTTAAATTTTATATTATTTTTTGAGTACTTCATTTCATATTAACTTAATGAATCAGAAAATAATTATTATTTTAAGGATATTATTTAAGATATAATAATGATTACGACTTTAACGAAGTCCTGCAAGGAGAGAGGGCACATTATTATTATATTGGAAACATTTCACCTGCAACCATTTTTACTAATTAAATAATATTAATCTTTTGAATTGTTAAATAAATATGTGAAATGTGAAAATATCAAAGTTCTTTGAAAAAATATAAATTTGAAAATTATTGTTTCACAATCCATTTCAAAACAAACATTTTTAGATATATAAATGTGATTGTTGAATAAAAAACATAAAATATAAATATTTATTATTATTATTATTATTATTATTATTATTATATTAATAAAATATTATTGTTATTATTCTAGAAAAAAAAACACGTAAAACACGAAAATGATTTGTTGACATTTGTTACGTTAAACAATAACTCATTATATCAATTAAATAATAAAATTTATTATATTTTTAGTTGTTCAGACATCAATTTATTAGCATCCTAAATGATATTCTCTGTAGAATCCTAATATAAAGACCGCTTTTTTCTCATAGATATGAAAACATAACTTCCTTTCTTGGTATTTGTTTTAAGGATGATTATATATTGAGAAATATATTTTAAAAAACATTTATTAAATAATTTAATATGCTAATATTAAAATAGCATCTATAGTGTGATTTTGGGTTTTATATTAGTTATTTATCATACAATCGTCACCCTATATTATTATATTATTATTTTATTTTAAAGAACAGTAGCAGTGAAATCGAATGAAGAGGTAAAGCAGAAATCATGGTAAGGTAAGATTCAAGATTCCATGTATGCATGGTTAACGAAGGAATGTCTACACTTGCACATGAAGATTCCATTGAATAGGGTGATATAATTGGAAATTTAAAAAATCAATGTTAAAACCTCAATGTTTGAACATATATATCATACAAATATGCAATCATCCATTTCATACTATGTTTCAAATAAAAAGAAAAGAACATGTATATGCTTTAATGCATGGCTAGTGGCCTTATTGCACTTATACTGAAAACAAATAGTGGAGGCACCACACGTTAAGTCATCAACACATTAGCCTCTGTTGAAGGAACCATTTTTTCTCTTGCTCGATGTGCTTCTCAACTTCTTCTTTGCACTCTGAATGAAATCTGAAAACTCGTCGTTTTGGTTATCCCTACCATTAGCCTCGTCGTATTCTGATGGTGGTGCAGGTGCAACGTCGCTATGCTCCCGACGGATGTGGGACACGGTTCTGATTTTATACTTGGCCTGTCGAATGAAAGTGGTGAAAGTTTCATCGTTATCAAGTGGGGTGTTATCTGAGTACACCCCACTTCCAAGTTGTCCCTTTCTAGTGCCTACGGTCTCTGCCTTGGGTTTGGCTGTGTATTCGTTTCTGAGTTTAGAAACAGACCTCCCCATCCTTGGGTCATAGCCAAGTTCAGTAGACACAACCCTTGTAACCTGGCCATGTACCTTTGAATTTGATGAGGCCTTATTCCCCATGGATATGATGCAGGTTTGGTTTTGGTAAGTGTTTGATGCAGGGTGTATATGGTTCTCAAACTTGGTTAAGCTCAGAGGATTTGAGTTGAGTGTAACTTGAATGAAGGGTCATGTATATATAATTGTTTATACAGTGTTATCCTGTGCAAATGGAAAGATTAGGAAACTAGAAAGAAAGAGAGAAAATTAGAAACACGTTTTGAATTGCGACCACTGACCTTTGCGGGAACCAATGGTATTTGCAGAAGCTATATAGTTATTAAGATTCCTATCAGCAATTTAGAAAGAGCTTTTTCTAATTTTCCACTGAGTATGAAGGTGCTAATTAAACTCAAAAGTAAACAAAGTACTACTGTTTACTCATGTTTGTAAAATTGTATGTCGAGTAGTCAAATTTGACGGCTATAACTCCTTAAGAAAAGAAGTGGTGATATATAGATACCCATTTGTTTGATACATTTTATCAGTAAATATTAATATTATTTCTCTCTTAAGTTATATTATTCGTTTAGTATTGGATTTCCATGGAATATAGTTTTCTCATGCAGATATTTTACAATTTTCTATCTTTCTTTTAATCACACCATGTATAATTTTTTTAGTTACATTTTTTATCGTTCTCTCTCGGTATCATTGAGTGTTGGGTATGTAAGAGTCATTTTCCAAAGGAAAAAAAAAACAAGGGACATGGGAGTTTGCGAAGGAGCATGCAGCTAGACGGTATCAGATTCCTAAGGGAATAATAGTTCAGAATTGGCGAAATAAACAAAGTGTGGTTGCAGCTTGCATGAATCACATGGTGGGAGTGTTCCACGTAGGATGCGTATGTGGTTCCATTACCCTAATGGAGTTAATATTCCTCTCTTTCTAGTGCAAATCAAACAACTCATGGCAATTATTCAACTACAAATTACAATAAGAGAGCCAGGATTTAAGTGGCCCTTTACCATACCAAAAAACAAAAAGAATCCACTTTGTAATATTTCCAGAATTTTAATTTTGCCCGTAGATTATTGCAGTGCAGAATATCAAGCCGAATCCTAATTCTTCATTGTATATTAAAAAGAACGTGGAGAGTCCCCATAAATTATTCATTTAGTTGTCTCTAGTGATTTGCGAATGATTTCTGATACCACCATTTTTAAAGTGTAGTTAATTTTCTTTCAAGGTAACTCTAGGTTGAGTTTTACTTGCATATATTAGTGGTTTACATTTATGACATGAACTTTACAGGCTTACTTCCACAAATCATAAAAAGGAATGTAATTAAAATAGTAAAACGCAGCACAGTTAGAAGAACAAAGAGGAGAACAACACGACTACGTAATTTAACCAACGTAACCTACACTTATAAAAGAGAGCACATGTACATAGGATCAAGACACTAAAACTTTATATAAGATGTTGACAAATATTAATCAACTAATGAAAAAATTGTTAGCATCGGACAAAGCATAAGGCATCTATGGGTTCAGATAAAGCTGAATTGAGAATTACACAGGTAGAAATAATAAAATTGAATAATAAAATACCTTAATGTTTTGAGTTTAATGTAATATAAATCTTTAGGTGTGATGTTATTTTTTATCGGTGAATCTCCACGAAAGACCTACAGTGGTATTAGAGCTTATGATTCATTTAGTTATTGACTCAGTTGAGTATGATTAAAGTAGGTGAAAGATCGTTGTGTCAAAATTCTAATTAACAAAGATTTTAGACAAGCGAGAGTCCCTTTCAGTTGAACTATGGTACAAGTAAAGTTAGTATTGGGTACTCCTGGTTAAAAAATATTTTTACTCGAGGGAAGGTGTACCAATGTGAAAAGAAATCGCACTTGAGGGGAAAATTATTGAGAATTCAAGTATGAGTTAAAAGTAGAAAAGTCAAGAATGAGAAAAACTCATAACCTAATATCTTAAGGTTTTTGGTTGATAATAGTGTCAACCCCTAATATGAGTTTGATTCATGTTTATTTCTTCGTGGTGAATCCTAAGATTCCAACACATCTTTTATCAAAAAATCTTAAAAGATGTTAAATAATGAAATCTTAATATAAAATATTTGCTTGACGAAAGCGAACAATTTATAATATAGATATTACGAGTATATAACATTAAATTTCATTAGTATGTTTCTCCCTAGTAAATCCTTCTCAAAAGACCTAACAGGTGATATCAAAACAAAAGGTTGATCGGCAGTAGGTCAGAGTGGTCTCGAAAGTCTTCTTGACAAAGTAAATCTGGTATGCGTGTCCCATTAGAGTGAATGACAGTACATGAAAGGACCATTAGTGAACTAGAAGAAATGTATCAATGTGAAATGATACACTTGAGAGAAAAATTGTTGGGTAGTCCAAATGTAAGTTAAATCTTACATTAAGTAAAAATAGAAAATTGAGCAATATATAAAATATAACTCATAACCTAATGATTTAGTGTTTTTGGTTGATAGTAGTGTCATTCTTTATATATGTTGGACACATATCTTATTGGTGTATTTCTTCCTTATAAATATCCGTCAAAAGATCTCTCGTCCTAATTAGAAGTGAATTCGTGATATCTATATAACTCCTTTCTTTACATATTTTAATAATATAATAATCATAAATATAAAATTTTAGAGTGATTATATATAAAAAATAGATTATCTATATTTTTATCGTATATAACTCCTTTCTTTACATATTTTAATAATATAATAATCATAAATATAAAATTTTAGAGTGATTGTATATAAAAAATAGATTATCTATATATCTATATTTTATCGTATTTATGCTGAGTTGAAGCACATGAACAAGTTTTTGAATAAGAGTGTAACGAAGTTCTTTTATTATAGCTTTAAATAAAAAACTACTAGGATTCAATATTATAATCTGGACAGCGACAGTGAACAAAATGTATAAAACACGTGAATAATTTACAATATAGATATTGCCGTATAACATGAAACCTTTGTAATAATAAATAATTACTGCATGAGATGCCAAATGAATCAATATAGTACGAGTAACATGCACATGAATCATGTTCTTTTAAAGAACTGCTGGTGGAAAAAGCCAATGAAATCAACAAACAAAGGAGTGCAGTAATCATTAAAATCATAAATCATCATTGAGAACATTGGGTTGGGGTAACATTCAAGATTCCATGTATGCTTATTTGTTCCCCACAACGAGACAATACCTGGGCTAAATTTGAGGACAACTTGGCCTCATCAGTAAGCTTTTAATTGCAATCAGATGATTAAGTGACACTAAATATATATAATTAACTATGGAAGTGGCTTTCAACCTCTCAATTTATTAATTTTTAAGGAGATAATTAAAAATAAAATTAAATATTTTAATATAGGTCTTATAGTTGAATTATTTAAAATTTAATCAAAATTATTTATATAAATATTTTTTTAAAATTTTAAATAATTCCGACTCAAATTTAATCTATAATAAAATATTTATTTTATTCTTAAACCAATTTTGATAACAACTTATTTTGGAGCCTTTTGGAGTTGCTCTTAGATAATTATTCAAATGAAATCTTTAAAAATATAATCTTGAGTTCGTCTTGAGGAGACATGTCTTCATATTAGTTTAGGATATCCTTGTGTTGTTTAGATTTTTTTAAAATTTAAACTAATAAAACTCAAAAGTTAAAAACAGTAAAGATTAATTTACAAACCTTCCATTGAACACAAAATGTATACATTTCGTACAAATAAGAAATCATCCAATCCAAATTATTCCCCCAAGTAAACATTTCAAATATATTATGCTTGAAATAGAAAAATATAACAGTATATGCTGCATGGCTTATGGCCTTATTTCTTCATGCATTGAATATATACTAAAAAATAAAATATTGGACGAACCCAAGTGTCAAATCACCATCAACACATTACTAATGCCATAGCTCTTTGAGGCTCCCTGGTTTATCAATGGTCACTGCCTCTTGAAGGAACCATGCATCCTCATGCTTGATGTACTTCTCAACTTCTTCTTCGAACTCTTAATGAAATTTGAAAACTGATTATTAAGGTTATCCCTGGCTTTAGCCTCTTCATCTGGTGGTGGTGCAGGTGCAACGTTGCTCTGCTCCCGACCGATGTGAGACACGGTTCTAATTTTACCCTTGGCACGTCGAATGAAACTGTTGAAAGTTTCATCGTTATCAAGTGGGATGTTATTTGAGTACACCCCACTTCCATGGTGTACCTTGGTCTCTGCCTCTGGTTTAGCAACCAGCCATCCCTTCCTTGGATCATAGCCAGGTTCAGTTGAAGCAACTCTTGTTGCCTTTCTATGATCCTTTGAATTTGATGAGTTCCTATTCCCCATTGATATGATGCAGGCTTGGTTTGATAAGTGTTTGATGCAGGGTATAGAAGTGGTTCTCAAACTTGGTTAAGCTCAGAAGATTATGAGTTGAGTTGAGTGTAACTTGCAAGAAGGGGGCTTGTTTTATAGTGTGTTGTCCGTGGTGTAAATGACAAGATTAGGAAGTATAAAATAAGAAAGAAACATAAACACGTTTTGAAAAGATATCTATGAGAACTAATTGTTTTTGCAGGAGCTATCCAGTTAAGATTCCGAACAGCGATTAAGAAGAGCTTTTTCTAACTTTCCACGGAATATAATGGTGTCAAACTCGAAAATAACCAAATACTAATCTATATATTATTATTATCACATCATGGCTTGGAGTAATATTGTATGTCTTGTAGCCAAAATTGGTGGATTGGTCCTAAAGGAAGTAAATAGGGACGTGAGAGTTTTTCATGGAGCAGCTAGATGGTATCAGATTCCAAGAGGACCCTTGTTCAGAATTGGCGAAATAAACAAAGTTCAGTTTCTGCAGCTTGCAAGAATCAAGTACGTGGCAAATTAATATTCGTGTCTTTCTTGGAAATCAAACAACTCATGAACTTGTTAATTTGAAATTACAATCAGAGTGCATAGTGCAAGTGGCTCCTACCATACCAAAAATTAAAACCAATAATATTTTGATCGTAGTGCAAAATTCTAGTTAAATTTGCTTCAATATACCGTTGCTGTTGGTTGAGTTTTACTTGTTAAATGATCGACTTATTTTAATATATATAACTATGATAGTTCAATTAACGTTAGTAAATTTGTAAAACTACTTTAACGTATATAACTTTTTTTTCTTCGCAAGCAAATTATAAATGGGATTAAAAGCAAGGATTCTCATTTAGAATTTGCCGTGGGTCTAATATAGAATGTGGTTTTACATACAATTGGCTTGGCCAACGCATCCTAAACAAACGAACTTCAACTTGTCATGTCCCTTCACAAAAGACAGAAAGAGAGAGGGGGGAAAAGTGGATAAAAAATAAAACAGTGAGAGAGGAAAATAAGTCCAAATCCTTGGATGAAGCTCTTAAGAAACAAAAAGTCTTAATTTTCAACTCTCGCCAAAAGATTCCTCTTATACCATATACTCTTCCACGGTTCCACCGCTGATTAATGTCACTACCACCATCTTTTAGAAAAGAAACAACCTCGACACTTCTAGAACCAGTTATTTTGACTCAAGTTCAAACGACTAGACCAATTTTGTGATTCATATAAGTTATTTTTTTATGCTGTAACGGGTGTTATAAGGGAGAACTTTGACTACACTAAGGTTCGAAACAACTTTTGACCTAACAATCACATGCAAGAACCTATCTGCTTTTCATCCGTCAAAAATGGTAATGGGGTCGGAATTTTTGTTAACCCCCTGTAACATATATGCCACCCTCAAATATAAATGAGTATTTTTAAGTTCGAACACAATAACCAATAAATAGTCAAAGTATAACTTTCTAAATCGTATTCTAACATTTATATACATAAAATTGAACAAAATGTTCTTTATATTTTTTTATGATTCACTCAGTTATGAACTAAAAAATTAGAAAACTTGGTATATAAAACAGTAGAATAACATCTCAGTGATGGTTGCCAGAGGAGATCGCATCTTAGGTGGAAGACATGGATGCACAGGGTGGAGGAAATTAGCTGATCACACACTTTTAACATCACCTACAAAACTGACATAAACAAGTCTCGTTTTTTTATATTTTTCTAATTGTTCCTAACTAAAAACAATGGTTTAATTCCTGATTTAGTTAGGGTATGTTATGTTATAGTGATGCTTCCAGTGTATTTTTTATAGAAAAAAAAATTATCATTGAGAATAATAGATAGGAAAAAAACATTTTTTAAGCGGAATCACAAAAATGGTTTATAAATAATAGTGCTTAATTACATAGTTCATCTATTAATTTATTTATTCATTTTTATACTTCTCACAAGTAAATGCATACTTTATAAAAAGGTTTATTTGAAATTAAAAAAATTTGTTAATTTTTAAAAAAATAAAAAAATTAACGCGTTGTTAGTTCAAGGAATATAACTTAACATTTCAATATAAGGTCTTAAATTTAGCTTATTGTATGGAATAAAAATCTTTACTATATCCTCCATAGATATTTTTTTGTTTTTACCTCGAACAGAAAATTATCATAAATGATACTTAAAATTTAGAAATAAAAAAATCACTAAATAAATTAAATCATCACGAAATAAACAATTCATTCAAAAACTTTAAATAGTTATAAATTTGAAAACAATTATAATTAAAAAGGATAAAAATTCTTAAAATATGTCTGAACAAGTAATTTTTTATTACTTATACATGGGGATGACTTCATTGAACATAAGAGGAAAAAAACATTTGTAACAGAAAAATATATGTAGTGAGTCACTATGTCTTGTTTTTGCGTTGTGCTCCGAAACAAAGGGTGAGTTGCTCGAATTGGGCCGCACGAATATGACGGGTCGGTGTCGGGCGCCCATTCTAAAACCCTCACTCTTCGCACTGCATTTCGCTGTTGTCTTCCCTCTCCTAAAACCCTCGCCTCTGCACTCCATAGTTAGGGCTTTTCATTCTCCACATCACTTTTTCAATGGCCACTCTTCTTCTAAGAAACTCCTCTTCCACTTCCCGCCGCTTCTTCCCCTTCGCTTCTCAAATCCACTCTTCCTTTTCTCGTTCCCCTCTCTCTACTCCCAATGACTCCACCACCTCCTCTTCTTTCAATTCCAATCCCTGGTGGAGATCCATGGCCACTTTCACTAGAACGTAATACTCTCTGTTTCTCTTTTTTCGCGGCAAAATTGTAAGTAAATAATAGTTATTAGTATTAATGTGTTTGACTTGTTTTGTTCCTCTTGTTGTTTGATGTTGCAGGAAACCTCACGTTAATGTGGGCACTATTGGACACGTGGATCACGGGAAGACCACGCTAACCGCGGCAATCACCAAGGTCTTGATTCACTCTTTGTTTAAATGTGTGTTTTTGGTAGAGGTTTTGGTGTTTATTACTTAATTAGCTTTGATCAGGTGCTTGCGGATGAAGGTAAGGCTAAGGCTGTGGCCTTTGATGAAATTGACAAGGCTCCTGAGGAGAAGAAGAGAGGAATCACCATAGCAACGGTTTGGAATCGTAACCTTTTGGTCTTGCATCTATTCTGTTGTTTTCTGTTGAGATGTAATACTTGCTTAATGTTTCGGTTTTCAGGCTCATGTGGAGTATGAGACTGCAAAACGACATTATGCACATGTGGACTGCCCTGGACATGCAGATTATGTCAAAGTAAAGTTTGTAATTTGGTTTAATTTCTCCACGAATGACTTTGTGATTGGAGTATTTAATTGACTAATAGAAGCTGGGTGGCGAAGTTGTGACAGAGAAGTTTGAATCACTACATGGGTGGTTGTTAATTGATGAGTGAAGTTTAAGCAATTTAGCCACGTATAATAGTTACTTGTATAATTTAACATATTTTGGTGTTTGTGTTGATCTTCTATTCACAATGAGATGGAAACTTTATGGTAGGAATTTGGAAGTAGATTGGTTTGTAAAATAATAAAACATTATAAATTATTGGTTGTACATAATATCACAACAGCTGCATCTGTCAGATTGCTGTTTTCCTTAATGCTAGTGGCTTTAGCATTCCAGCCGGCCTTAATGTACTTACTAGGTGTTTATCTATTGGTTTTCTTTAGTGTAAACCACAAAATAATTCCTGATCACCTTATGCTTTATAATTATCTGTTTGCAGAATATGATTACGGGAGCTGCTCAGATGGATGGTGGTATACTAGTTGTATCTGCACCTGATGGACCAATGCCTCAAACGAAGGAGCACATTCTTCTTGCCCGCCAAGTAGGTATTCGACTAAGGTGGTTTCTAAATATACTGGTAAGGTCGTCCTTACTTCTAGGTTAACATACATGTTATTTTAATTTTATTGTGCAGGTTGGTGTGCCATCTCTTGTGTGCTTTCTAAATAAAGTTGATGCTGTTGATGATCCAGAGTTGTTAGAGCTTGTAGAAATGGAGCTACGAGGTAGGATGTTTCTCTAAGGATTCACCTTCCCTCTCTAGCCCATGCTCTCAGAACATCAATATGCCTGCATAAGCTTATGTAATCCTTGAGTTTCCTAACTTTAAAAAGTGTATTTTTGTTAATTATGTGTTTGCAGAGCTTCTGAGCTTCTACAAGTTCCCAGGGGATGAAATCCCTATCATTAGAGGTTCAGCGTTGTCTGCTTTACAGGGTACAAATGATGAAATTGGAAGACAGGCCATTCTAAAATTAATGGATGCTGTAGATGCATACATTCCTGACCCTGTTCGCCAACTTGACAAACCTTTCCTAATGCCAATTGAAGATGTGTTCTCCATTCAGGTAAAAGGACTTGCACTTTATTTTTCAAAGAAAGTCAATTCATTGACAGGAAAGACGAGCTTGGTTATAATATTCTTAAAATATTTAAGTCTTGTTTTTTATCATGTACCCTAGCCGTTCCAATATAAACACTGTTTAGGTAACGAAACTGTTTAAGAAGTACTATTAATATCCATTTTGTATTAAAATTGTTTAAATTTCTGATACGCTCTTTCTGTTCATCCATAAATCACACCACTGCGGTTATTGGTGTATTGAATATTATAAACAGATGGGATTATAAATATTTGAGTATATATGAAATAGTGGTTCATAATATTGGGTCATCTTTGTAATGGGGCCATTTCAATTCAACAATTTTTTTTCTTGCTCTTCCAAATCTAGTTAGGTGAAGATAAGGATAAAATTTAAATTCTTAGTAATGCTGTCTAGGACCTTTTTAAAAATTAAAAAGGAATGGAGGTAGTATTTGTGATGGCCTTGCTGTTTACAATGACATTACACGGTGATGTAATTTAAATCTAACATGATACTTTAAACAGTTGTCTAATTTTTAAGTTCTTTTTTCCCCTGTAAGAGAATATACAAATTTCTATTTTCCAATGCTGCTAAGTTCTCTCAAACTCTGCATTGGTTTCCTCACATATATTGGATTGGATAGAAAGAAACACGAGGGCAACGATCTCCTTCATTTCAGCTGCTTTATATTTTTCATTTGTGATGAAGGGGCGTGGAACAGTTGCCACTGGCCGTGTTGAACAAGGGATCATTAAAGTCGGTGAAGAAGTGGAGGTTTTGGGTCTAATGCAGGTATGTATGTTCATTGGTCATTTCCTGTATCTAGCTGCCCCTGATTCGCATCATTCCTTTGAATTAATCTCCTATTATTGTTGGTTTGTTTTGCTGCTATATATTATTAGTTTACTTCTCTACAGAGCTTTTGGTAAATTCCTTTGTAACGGTAGTTCCTAAAATTGAATTTTTCTTGGTAGGGTGGTCCTCTGAAAACAACAGTAACTGGAGTTGAGATGTTCAAGAAGATTTTGGATCAAGGACAAGTAAGTGACTGTAATCTTCATCTACAAGGGCTGTGGCTATTTACGTGCATATGTTAAACTAAACTAATATGGATTTTATAAATTTTCTTAGGCTGGTGACAATGTTGGTCTTCTTCTCCGTGGTCTGAAGCGTGAAGATATTCAACGGGGTCAGGTTAGTTGTAGAGGTCAAGCTTTTCCTTTTTGTTAGACATTGTAGCTTCTAGGGGTGGGCATGGATTAAAATCCAATTCAGATCCAATAAAATAGATTGAATTTGAAATCCATATCTATTTAATTAGATAAATTTGATTTGGATTTTTCAATATAGTTTAAATTTGGATTTAAATTAGATTAAATTCATATCATTTAATTATTTAAAATTGGCATTAAATTGACTATTATATCTAAAATTCAATCTAATATTTTAATTTAGTTGTTATATTTTTATTAAATAATTAAGATATTTTTCAAAATTAAACTGTTAATTTTTTAGTGGGAGTGATTATATACCGTAGCTAATAACAAATGGTTCATCAGGGAATAAGTGTTTGATGATTTTAATCCAAGCTTTTCTCTTCCTTCATGCATTACTTTTTCTCACTGCTTAATTATTTAAAATATTTCTCATTTTTTATGTTGTGGAAATATTAGCACCTATATATTCCGTGTCTGTCAATTATTAATACAATGTATTATTACTTGTTGAAATCCCGTATTTTCTTTAATACTAGTATTTAGAAAACAAATAATAATTTATGTGATGAACAAGACTTACTGTTAATATAATGACTGGTGATGCTAGAGATCAAGGTCGACTTGACAACACGTTGAGTGTGGTCCAACAAAAGAGGTACATTGCAGATTGAGTGAAAAATATCTTGTCGAAGTCATCAAAAAATTATTTGACCAAACGATTTCTTAGGATGAACCTTGATTTTAGATTTTTAAATCTAACAAAAAAATTAATCCATAGCTAGTCCTATCCAAATCCAATTAATTGGATTGAATTTAAAATCCAAACATATGGATTTGGAATTGAAATGAATCCATTTAAACGGATTTATTGTGATTTGGTTCTAGATAATTATAGATTGGATTTGAATATGGATTTTTTGCTACCCCTAATAGCTGCATGAAAGAGAAATGTATCTATGTTATCTGTACTTGTTTTAATGAAATTGTAGAGTTTTAAATTCAAATTACTAAAATTGAGTTACCACTTTCCTTACGCTAATTGGAAGGTGATTGCCAAGCCTGGTTCTGTAAAAACATACAAGAAATTTGAGGCAGAGATATATGTACTCACAAAGGATGAGGGTGGGCGACACACTGCTTTCTTCTCCAACTACAGACCTCAGTTTTACTTGAGAACAGCTGATGTCACTGGAAAAGTAGAGTTGCCTGAAAATGTTAAGATGGTTATGCCCGGAGACAACGTTACAGCTGTGTTTGAATTGATTTCAGCAGTTCCACTTGAAGCAGGTGAGTATTACTTCATCATTTAAAAAAAAGATATCATTTCAGTGTATTATTGAATCACCATACATAAATGCATTTATCTGTATTCTGAATATTCTTGTGCACACTTCATACTGGAAACTGGAAACTTCACTGCTTGCAATTGATTTCACAGGACAAAGATTTGCCTTGAGAGAAGGTGGCAGAACAGTTGGTGCAGGTGTGGTGTCAAAAGTACTGAGCTAGTACGTTCGCTGTGACTCAACTTTTAGTCTACACATTTTCAAAATGGGTTGGAAGCCCTGAGACCTGACTGTTTATCCTGAAAAATACAAACCATGTGCCAAGCAATTAATATTTAGCGGTTGTTTTGGATGAAATTCAGTAAATTAAGTAAAATTTAGAGAAGTTAATCTTCAAAGTTCATTTTTGTAGTGCATAATTTTTCAACATGCCCATCGTGCAGACTTTTTCTGCTTTATGAAAAATAATTTGTGTATCTTGTGTTCAACAGTCCGATACATTGATTTTGGGTGTTACATATCTATGTTTTTAATAATGATGCTCATATTGTTTGAATCTGTATTATTGATTGCATCCATTGATTTGAGATATATCAATAGATTGAAATATGATGTCAGCTGTTATGATACAGTGTGTATCTCCAGCTAAGAACTCGTCATGTTGCCCCATAACTGAATTTACTGAATTCTCGGACACAAGTTTCTATCATCTATACTATTAACCATCTATTTCTGTTGGTCGTAAATGTAACAAAGTAGCTAAAGCATTCTAATTGAATAAAAAACATCACAAAACAACTGTAATCATTATATATGACATCTTAATTTTTAAAGATTAAGGTTAATTATTCTATTTAGAACCCCCTTCGCTTGACATGTTCTCTTTTTCCTGTTTAAACTTCGTTGGGAGTAATGTGAAAAGAATATCCATGATGAAAATTGCTAAGGTATTTCGATGTACACATAGCTCCTTTGTGATATACTTCATAAAAATAAAGATACATTCCCCTATTTTATTTGAAGAACATAATTTTAACAATGCTCTAGTGACTCGATTGAATGTAGTTATTCCATTTGTTTATGGGAATGGTTGGTACTCTAATTCACCAAGAGTTTTTAGTTGTTTAGATTGAGGTAGAAATAGGCCAAATTTGTTAAATACAATGACCAAGATCCAGTTAGGTGAATTGATTTTTTAAAATACTTAAGCAAATTACTAATTTCCCATAGCAAAATTAAATCTTTCAAAAATCAAGAAAAGTAATAGTCTAAAAGTAAATGCAAATAGAAAGAAGAAATAAAAGAGGTTTAATAGTTATACTGGTTGATCTAATATCCACTTTGAGTTTCACTAATAATAATCAATTACAAATACAATTAGTAGATATATTTTATAGTACCAACCATCAAGTATCACAAATACACTAGAAAATAAAATAATACAAAAATGGAAAACACCAAGAAAGATTATACTACAAATAACTCTAACTACAAAATCACAATTTTTAAGTAATTTCTTTAAGAAAAAAAAATGTCTCAAATGAATTTTGAATTATCTACAATAAAAATGCACATTGATCTATTCAAAAGATTATCAAAAACTTTTCTTAAAATTATTATATGAAATGAAAAATCAAAGATGTTTATATAATAAAATTAGATAATTATAATTGTATACAAAACAGTTATAATGATTATTTAATTAATTGAAATAGAGTCAAGAAATCCATTACAAAATAAAGAGTCTAGAATTTTCAAAAAATTTCATAATTGTTAGAGACTAAAATCAATTTTTGAGAATTACTTTTTAAAAAAATCATTAATTTGATTAAAATCGAGACAAAAAATATCGAGAAAACTTTAAAATTGAGAATCACAATTTAAAAAAAAAATTATCTATTAATTAAAATTGAGAGCCTAATAAGAATATCTCAAGAAAAGCTTAAAATCGAGAGTTTTAATTTAAAAAATGTTATTAATTGATTAAACTACTTTTAAAATCGAATCACCAGAAATATTATTGAGATTAAAAATATTTTTTAAAATCGAATCACCAGAAATATTATTGAGATTAAAAATATCTTTTAAAATCGAAAACCTCATTTACAAGAGAAGGCATTGAGAATGATAAAACAGTGATTTCATGGAAAAAAAGTTTTTCAAAAGTTTACTCAATATCGTTTAAAACCCATTGAAATAAAGTAGCATTGAAATTTACTAATTAAAGATTATCGAAACAAAGTGATATTTAAATTTTTAATTGACTAAAAATCATAAAAGCAAAGTGACATCGAAAATTTTAATTGAAATTGATTAAAAACAGTGATTTTATCGATTTAAAACTTTAAAAGAGAAATTAATTGATCATTTCAAATAATGATTAATTAAAAAACCACTCATGAGAGTATTTAACAAATAAAAAACAGTTTTATCTGATTAAAATATAATTTTTAACCAAGTATTTATTTCAACATCATATTAGTTCTAACAATGAAGTATAAAGAAAGTCAGTCTATTAGTTGCATTTCAAAATTCTATATTACATTCAAGCTTCGACACTAAACAATGCTTCCCGGGTTTACTGCAACATAACAATTGCAGATTGTTGATCAGCATTGTGCCTTGAAGATCTCACTGTGGAACTAATTCGAACATTTGTTCTTACATGCCATCACTGCAGCCATCCAACCAACCAGAAATAAAAGAGCATAACCGAATTAGCCACATACCATATCCACTTCATCAAACTAATCTTCGGAGATGTCACTCAAGCAAGTCTCAGCACTACCACTGCTAGCAATGCTGCAGCAGTATAGTAAATATCTCTTATGCTCTTATCCAGCTTCTGCATCATTTTCTCTTCTTTCAAACCCAACTTTCCTGCGTTTTTGCTGATGCTCAAAATTGTAGCCCTAAGCTTGTTTACTGCCCCAGAAAGCCAAACCAACCCCAACCCAAACCCAGTGTTGAACAAGCTTGAACCACAGAAGGTAGCCCTTCCACAAGCTATGTTACACATTACAGATAGCAGAACCGCAATGCCGGTTCCAGCTATGCCGGCAGAAAATTGTGTCAGGAGCTCAGGAAGCTCAGGGCCGGATTTCTTCAGTGAGAGAATTGCCGTCTTGCCACGCTGCTTCTTGTCAACCATCAGGGACAGAAGGGTCTCACATGCATGAGAATAGTTCTTGTAGAGATCCCTGTCCCTGCCTCCTTTCTTGTTCTTTCTTGGTGATGGCTTGAGTTTGAGTTTCTCTGGGCTGCTAAGACAATAGAGAAGCATTAATGTATTGTATACTTCTTGAGCATGAAATTACTATAGGTATTGTGTACTTCTTGAACATGATCAAATTTATCCACAACCATGTATAAAGTCGATCTTACAAAGATGGACTACTCTCATCAGGCAATTGTTCAAAAATTCCGGTCAGATGGACTATTCTCATAACCTTAAAATGTGGAAAAATAATTAGCGAATACAGTGATGCATATGTTTAATTCCACATTGGACGAAAAGCCATTACAAAAAGCAGCCTTAAAGGTTGGCAATAAAGCAGCATAATAATGTCTCAATGGTTTCAAGTAGCAGCTAAGATTTACTACTGCAACCCACATTCTCCTTGATGGTAGAAGGGAAAGAGAGTAAGAGGAAACTCAGTCTCAATCGTATTGTAGCACATACAAGTTTAACATCTCAAATTAACTTACATAATTCACACTACAGAAACAGTCTAATCTCAGCGATTTAAATGCTAAGTAAGGGTGTTGAAAGATGAATACATGCTATTTTTTACTGTTCAACATAAGAGCATATCCCAGCAGAAAACAGGACAATGCAATCAAGAAAATTATTTTCTGTGCACCTTTTTAAGGGAGCAGTTAAGGTGGATTGATTCTTCAATGTGGAGGAATGACTTCTCTCTAATTCATTGATATTCACCCTGTCCAAATGAAATATCATCAAAATTATTCCTTGATACAAAGATAAGAATAATAGACTGTTAAATATGGAGTCTAGAAAGTTATAGTCATTTCTATTGGAGAAGAACACTGATAATACCATAATTGAAAATTAATCGAGGCCTGGAAACAAAAGTTAACCAATTAATTTAAACTAAATTAGGTTAATTCCCATACAAGTATTTATATTTTTCATGGTCAAAAGACAGGGGATTCCCCACCATCCATTGCTGTGAGATTAAACTGATAAGAATTGTTAGCAGTCACAACTCACAACAAACTTAAGTACATACTAATTTATTTTATTTTAAACTGCTAGGATATGTTCATAAGGTTCCTCCCCAAAATATTATCACTAACTAGGACGGCCTCCAAACAAATGCCTTCTGATTTCACATGACTAGTTTTCAACTTGGTCCCCACACAAAAGTTTTCAATTTAATATCTATCTGTACAATTATATTCAATGTCGTCCCTCTAAGCAGTGAGGGTGACAATGTGAGATATAATATAATAGCAATAGACTGCAACGACCAAATTGAAAATGATTGTTACATAGGGACCAACAAAAAATATGTTATGTATTTCTTATTTTGAAAAAGATACGAAAGAGGTATAAATAAAATATAAGATAATAAACCTATATATTAATCTATCCCTGAAAATCAGGAAAATATTCTCCCTATAAATGTTATACATAACTATGCATAAATAACGAAATAAAACTGATTATATTATCATTAAATCCTATCATAATTTGAATTATTTTAATTGATAGTGCTGATCTCCAACATTCCCCCTCAATCTGGGTGGTAGATGTCTATCATACCCAGATTGGATCTAATGTTTTCATATGTGTTCCTTGGAAGAACCTTTGTTAGGATATCTGTTGTTTGTCTGCATGATGGAACATGATCAACACTTATATTACCATGATCAATTTTTTCTTTAATGAAATGTCAGTCAATTTTCTCATGCTTTGTCCTATCATGGTGGACTAAGTTCTTTGCTATGCTTATAGCAACTTTGTTGTCACACATTATCCTCATAGTGTAATTAATAGGAATTTTGATTTTATCTAACATCCTCTTAAGCCAGATTCCTTCACAGATACCTTGAGCCATAGTTCTGAATTCAACTTCTGCACTACTCCTTGCCACCATAGGTTGTTTTTTGCTTTTTCAAGTCACTAAGTTTCCCCACACAAAGGAACAATAGTCTGTAGTTGATTTCTTGTCAAAGGGACATCTTGCTCAATCTGAGTCAGTATAGACTTCAATACCTATGTTTGAGTTCTTCTTGAAATAGAGCCCTCAGCTTGTTGTACCTTTGAGGTATTGAAGTATTCTGTTTGTCATGTTCATATTGGTCTTAGTTGGATTAGATGTATAGCGACTAGTCAGGCTAACAACAAACCCAATGTTGGGCCTAGTGTGAGTTAAGTAAATTAGCTTCTTAACTAGTCTTTGATATCTATCTTTATCAACTGGTGGACTTTCTTCTTCACCTCTCTTTTCCGATTCTATGGGAGTATTGTTTGTTTTGCACCCAAGCATGTCAGTTTCCTGGAGTAAGTCCAGTGTACATTTCCTTTCTGATACATAAATACCCTCTTTCGCCCGAGCAACTCCCATCCCTATAAAATATTTGAGCTGGCCCAAGTCCTTGGCTTCAAATTTCTTAGCTAAAAGTCTCTTCAAATGCTTGATTTGATCATAATTGTTTCTTGTGATAACGATATCATCCGCATAAACAATGAGCAAGGCTACTTTCCCTTCTGCTAAGTGTTTGACAAACATGGTGTGATCTGTGATCTGATTGACATTGGTTGAATCCATCTTCTTTGACAACCCAAGTCAATCTATCAAATCATGCTCTCAGAGATTGCTTAAGGCCATATAAAGATTTTCGGAGTACACACCATGTTTGAGGTTTTTGATGATTCAAGTCCTGGAGGAATTTGCAAATAGACTTCTTCTAGTTGATAAAGTGGTCAATCTAAATTTGCAGCTAAAGAAAGTATAAGTCGGATTGAATTGAGTTTGGCCACCAGTGTAAACGTCTTTCATAGTCCACTCCTATGATTGGATAAACCCTTTTGCCACCAGTCGGACTTTGTACTGGTTTATACTACCATCTGCATTATATTTGATGGAGAATATCCACTTGCATCCAATTGATTTCTTCCCTTTTGGTAGAGTGGTGATTTCCCATGTGCCATTTTTAATCAAGGCCTGGATTTCCCATGCTCCCTATTCAGGTTGTTGGAGTGCTTCTTGAACATTTCTTGGGATATATATGCTATCAAGAGCTGCCACAAATTACCTATACCCTGTGACAATTTTTCATAGGACACATAATTCCCAATGGGGTGTTGAGTGCAAGATCTCACCCCTTTTCTTAATGCAATAGGAATGTCAATGTTATCAATAGGTTCAGGATTAGAAACGATATTACCTAGAAAAAACTCATTTTCTGAAGCTTGGTTTGATTCATGACTTTGCCTTGAAGTTGTGCTAGACTCTACTTCCTTTTTTTCAGGTGCAATCTCGACTGACTCTACATTTGCTACTATAATTTCTTCTACTGCAGGTGCAGTCTTGGCCGATTTTGCATTTGGGGCAAAATGAGCTAGCTCAAATCTCAAAAATTAGGATTCTGAAAGTTGGGATTTTGCCACTTCAAATGGATAAATCTGCTCCCCTTGAATGTCAACTTTAGGGTAATAAGGCTGACTCTCAAGAAAGATGACATCCATGGTGTGGTAAAATTTTTTGGTTTGAGGTGAATAACATTTATACCCCTTTTGTTGGGGAGAATAGCCAAGAAAAATACATTTTATGGATTTTTGGTCAAGTTTGTTGCAACGAGGATGGAGGTTATGGATAAAGGCTGAATATCCAAATATTTTCAAGGGAATTGATGTGAGGATACGACTAATAGGGTATGAGGTTTGAAGAGTAGAGTAAGGTGTGTTAAAGTTGAGGATTTGGGAAGGCATTCTATTTGAGGTAGGTTGCAGAGAGGACAACTTCTCCCAAAAATTGGTTGGGTACATTTGTAGCCAACATGAGATATATGGTCACTTCTAAGAGATGTCTATTCTTTCTCTCGATGACCCCACTTTACTGAGGGTATCTACACATGAACTTTGATGTATGATTTCATGTCTCTGAAGGTAGGAACTTAGTGCAGAGTGGTAATACTCTCGGCCATTATCACTCCTAAGTACCTAAATCCTACTTTGAAATTGCATTTTCACCATAGTATGAAAAAATTCAAATATTCTACTAACTTTTGATTTCTCCTTTATTATGAACACCCAAGTGACCCATGTGTGATCGTCTATGAAGGTGACAAACCATCTTAATCCCGTGACATTGTTTACCCGTGATGGTCCTCATATGTGGTTGTGAATTAGGGAGAAAGGTTGAGAGGGTTTATAGGGTTAAGGCGGGTATGAGTTGCAAGTATGTTTGGACAATTGACATATTTCATATTGAAACAACTCCTGATTTTTATTGAATAATGTGAGAAACATTCTTCTTAAGTACATAAAATTTGGGTGGCCAAACCAATAGTGCCACAACATTACAATTTTTTTATTTTTAGGTACCACAGCACAAGAGTTGGCCTTGGGTTCCACCTCTGACGCTTCAGCTTGGAGGTAGTAAAGTCCAGCACATTCTTTAGCAATGTCAATCATCTACCTCGTCTCCAAAATTTGAAATTCACATAGGTTAGAGATGAATTTAGTGACACACTTCAAATCTTTTGTCAATTTGCTAATGGACAATAAATTACAATCAGATTTAGACACATAAAGGATTGGCTTCAAGTTAAGATTTTGTGAGATAATAACTGAACTTTTACCCATGACTTTAGAAAGAGTTTCATCAGCTATCCGAGTTGTGTAATTATTGTGGCAAGGAGTATAACTTTTTAAACACAGTTAAGTCTCCAATCATGTGATATGAGGCTCCTGAATCAATGATCCATGATTTTGATTTTCCTGTGCTAGTACTTAGAGTATGCAAGAAATTACCTTTTTGTGTTAATGCAGTTGTACCAATTGTTTGTTGGAGAATTTTCTGTGGTGCTTTCATTTGCTCCTTGCTGAATGGAGATGGATTAGAATTTAACTCTACTGTGTTGCCTCTATTGTCCAGGTTTTTTGTCTGTTTTTCCTTTGAAGGCTTGTCATGAATAATCCAGCAGGTGTCCTTAGTGTGCCCCAATTTCTTGCTGCCATTGTTGTGCCTTCAATGGGTGGGACTGCACTTGACTTTCCAAGCATTACTTTCCTCCTACTCTCCTCCCTTCTCACCTTTGAAAATACTTCTCAGATTGTTTTAAGAGGTTTGGTTCCAAAGATTCTCCCTCGGACTTCATCAAGTTTTGTATTCAGTCCCAGTAGGAACTTGTAAATCCTATCTTTCTCTACCAATTCTTTATACTTCTTCTTATCCTCAACACATCTTATTGAACGTCTTCATATATGTCTAGTTGTTGCCAATGTAAGTTGAGTGTATTAAAATACTCAATGACTTAGAAATCACCTTGTCATAGTTCATAGAATATGCTCTTGATCTCAAATACCACACACGTATTGTCCACATTCGAGTATGTTTCCTTTGCTGCATTTCACATCTCCTTGGCAGTATCATAGTACATGAAATTCTCCCCAATTTCATTGGTCATGGTGTTGGGTAACCATGACATGACTAAACTGTTTTCTAGTTGTCATTTGTTGAGGGAAGGTCACTGTCTACTGGACACTTGGAGTCTCCGATGATGCAACCTTCCTTCCATTTTCTTTGAAGGAAGATCTTAACTAAACGCACCTATTGAGGGTAATTGTGGTCATTCAAGTTGTGACCAGTAATAGGAAGAGCAAGTCCTTTGACCCAACTGGTGGCCAAACCTCCTACCTTATTCTCTTCTATGGTTAGCTGCATTAGGTTAGGAATGGTCCAGATCCTGCTCTGATACCATGCGGAAAATACGTTGTGTATTTCTTATGTTGGAAAAGATACAAAAGAAGTATAAATAGAATACAAGGTAATAAACCTATACACTAATCTATCCCTGAAAATCAGGGAAATATTCTCCTTATAAATATTGTACATAACTGTACATAAATAACGAAATAAAACTGATTATATTATCGTTAAATCTTATCATAATTAAATTATTCTAATTGATAGTACTGATCTCCAAAAAATATAATATTTTTGGTTCATATATATGACATTAATTTGATGCCTATGCTTCATAATGTTATTACTTCAACAAACAGTATTATAATAGCAATAGACTGCAAAGAACAAATGAAAAAAGAAATTGTAAATGTAGGGACTAAATTGAAAGTTTTCATACAGGGATCAAATTAAAAAAGAAAAACAATTATCTATAAGGAACCAATAGTACACTTAAATTAATCTAAATAATAGTGATTATGGGCAACTTTACATTGTCAAAACTTGCAAAATCATGGACACAGTTTTTCAACTTGTGATGAATGTAATCATATGACTGAGCCAACTGTGTTACAGCTTGCAAAGACTCTGGTCTGGTATGTATATAACATCTAAGAGGATATAATTTGACAATATATTAGAAATGAGACATATAATTTGCAAACATGTTTTGTTAAAACTGTTATTTTGATGTTGAATATCTAACTAATGCAAAATAGTTGATGTTAAACCAAAGATCAACGTAATTTACAAAGAAAATTATGTTATCACTGATGAGTGGACAATCAGAATTTGTTTAAACAAGTCAAGATGGTCAACATATTTATACCAACTGAAGTGTGGAACAAGCATAGTTTTCTTTTCACTCTTTGCCGAGCATTTTGATAAGTATGACTCCGCAACTACAGAGAGAAGGTCTTTCAACTCAATTGGACTACCCATGAATGTGATTTGACCATCTGGATGAACCATGATCTTTGAAGAAAGGGCTGAATCTTGAACAAAATGAAGTAAAGGCTTCTTCTGAATGATGAATTTGTTAGTTGGGTATATAAGAGATGACAATGGTTGCTGAGATTCATCAATGCCTGAAACCTGCAATTTCATCAAGTCCGATAACAAAGACAAATTTGCTCCATCTATCCCTGCTTCAGCAGTCTCAGACATTAGTAAATTTGTAATTTCAATACGCTTAGTGCATTGTTCAACAATTCCAAAGCCAAAGAGAACTGCATTTGAGCAGTTTGCTGCAATCAAAGACAAATAACATTATTCAGAAGTCAGAATAAGCAAAAAAGATTTAGTAACATAAATCATCTTAGTCCTTCATCTCAAAAATTAGAGAAGGTGCAATCAAATATCTTAGGCAAGTTAGATCATAACATCTGAGAGCAAGCCAACCTTCAATAATTATTCGAAATCATTGGTCATCAGATTTAATACCATGCCACATTTTAGGATCCAGTAAGGGATTTGGGTCCTGTACAAGAAGTATTGGATCCTAGGGCGGGGTTTATATATAGGGCTTTCAGTTCTACAACAACCATAGCTAGCTCTTTTGCTGTGGTTCTCTCAAGGTTCTTATTACCATAAATTAACATGAGAAAGAAAGATGCATAATCAATAGACAAAGACAAAAAATGAGCCATCTTCATTACAACAACGAGACATTCAATGAAAATTTGCATGAAGACACATGAAGCAATCAGAGAATATTGAAATTCAAAACGTATTTACATCAAATAGAATTTAAGTAGAGTAGTATAGCCAAATGTAACCTATTTCCACATTATTAGTCCATGACAATTGGAGATAGAATCATTGAATAACAGGCAGTACAAGGTGGGTAGGAGGTGAATCTGTTACTTGAAAATTTCAAATATTCGACACTACTACCAATTCATGGGAATAATCAATCAGTAGTCTAACATCACAGATAAAATTAGTCTCAAAATGTACCTTGTTCATCAATAAGCACGGGACTTTGAACTGAGAAATCAACATTAGTCAACTCATTGTAATCAAACCATTCATTTGGGTATTTCCTGGACTCCTCACATGGGCTTTGCTTAAGAGGAGGAGACTGATATCTGATCAGGTCTACTTTTGCTACGGGAGAAGGAAAGGATGTTTGGTAGCCCTGTCTTAAAAGAAAAAATTAAAAATATAAGAAACTAAAAAACTAAGTATCCACAACACTGTCAAAATCATTTCAATATTAGAACCATGTAAAGCAAGTCTTGAGTTCAAAAGTTGGGTGAAGGAGGCCATGTACGACATCATGGGGGATAATATTATGAGTTTTAAAGGGGAACTTTATTATTATAGGGGAACATCCCACAGTTTAAGAAATTTACCAAATCAGATAGATGAAATACTAGAATAATATCGTGTAACCTTCAATCTTCATTATTCATTTACTCAAATACTCTACGCTTCCCTAAATTTATAAATGAAAAATTCACCCTCCCCTCCTCCAAAGATAGCCTTGATGATGAATTATGAATACGAATTATTAAAAGGTAACATCATCTCTTATTCTATTCCTTTCATCATAAAATATTTATAAGTTGGAGGATATTTACCGAAAACTTATCCCAATTGCCAAACATAGCCTTGAGTGTCATACCAAGTTACAAACATAGTCACAATCCCTTTGAGAAAACTTAACATCAACATACCCATTCTACAGCAAAACACCAATCCATTCATTAATACTGCTAAAACGAGAAAAAACTCATCTTGATGTTACCTTGAGGTTTGTACCGGGTAAAAATTGTGAGTGTAAGACAAGACCAGGGGGGTAACGATGAGAAGCCATCAAACAGAGACTCTGCACCATTTTTGAAAGAAACCCGGCTTAAGAAACGACTTTCTGTAGCCGAAAGTTCGCTCCTTTCGTGCCCTCAGTCACTCCCCATGCTCTTATCCCTCCCCGCACCTCAAATCCTGAATATTTCCACAAACCCCAAAATTATAATTAGGTTTTATTGTGATCCATCAGCTCAACAAAAAGAAACAAAAAAAAAACGACTCGCTGGTATCCAGAAACTTCCGAAATGAAAAACCAATGGTAAGCACTGCATGATTTCCATGTAAGACAAAAAAAATTAGCTTGTGGTTGTTTTCATGTTCACTGCATATACCTTAAGACTACGTAGTACTCTCTTTATCGAAAATAATGTTTTGTAGTGTGCGTTGTGACCAGAAAAATATATCAATTAAATAATATCCTTTAGAAAGTAAATACTCACATTTTGATGTATTGAAGTGGACTTTAATACATTGGTGAGAATATATCAATAATAAAATAGAAAAAATACATTAGTTTTTTACAGTGATTACGAAACTATAATAAATACATACATTTTAAGAATATAAAAACATAGTTATACTTAAAATAAACTTTTATTGGTTAATAGTATAAAATATTTGAGTGTATAAAAAAATAATTTATTATGAAAGGTTTAGTATGAAAAAAGTCCTTAATGTATATCAATTATATTGTATATAATAGATCACAGATCACTTTTCCTTAAACTTTTAAATTTAAGAGAAGTTCTTCCTTAAGCTTAAGCAAGATGTTAGAATATTTTTAAAAAATAACATTTCTTAGCATTAAAGGCTTTCAAAGTCATTTAAAAATTCGTGCATAACACTAGAGTGTTTATTAGACTTTTTAACAGTGGGAAAATAAAATAGTGTCAGTAAATACTGCCTTACTGAAGTTGTTTATACTTGTCAATATTATCTTTTTGAGAATTTATCTTACAATCTTTTATTCAAACTTAAAAAATACTCACAAACGATTTAGTAATAAAAAAATATTTATTATTCTTTATATCATGAAGATATAAAGAAAGTTTCTTAAAATTTATTTTATGCACTAATATACATAAAAAGTAATAAGAAATAATATTTATTTATAGTTAAACTTGAATGAACTAATATAAAAAATATATTTTCTATTATTTATCTTAAATAAATATTTTTACTTAAATTTTGTAAAATATATTTTAAAAAATTATTTATAAAACATTTAGATAATTATCGTTAAATCATTTATATTTGTTGGTATTGCTTTCCAACTATATCTAAAAAAAAATAAATCAAACTCTATTTAACCTGTTTTACAATTAATCTATTATTTCACATGTCACCATCCAAATGAATTAAAAAAAGAAGAAGTTAATCTTATATATGAACATAGTCGTGCATGCATTACAAAAAATATTCAAGATGGTCTTATTGTTATTCCTTATCTCATAATTGAGACTAATGGATTCATAGGTCTTAGTAAAAATATAATTTTTTTATTTCACATGCAGCATGGTTGTTGTTTTTTTCATTTATGGCTTATTCACCACCTAAGTAAGGTAGTATAACAAGGCACTAGTGACACATGTTTTATTTATTTATTTATTTATTTTATTAACAATGACAAATTTTACCTCTCATCCATATATTTATTTATTAAGATTGTTTTACAAAAATAAGAAATTTAATAATTTTTTTAATTTTAATAAATTAGAATAGCAATTTATCATTTTATCTTTTTTTTTCTCTATCTAACGTAATAAAATATATGTATAAATTATTTAAAAATCAAAAGACACATAAGTGTATAATCATTAAAAAACGATTAACTTAATATTAAAATTTGCAAATCACAAATAGATAAAAATGATTTTTTCACAAATTATATACTTACAAAGAAAAAAGAAGTTATCTTTGTTATATTTAGATTTCTTTTACAATAAATGTTTCCTTTTTATTGAAAATACTATTTAAATCTTTTTCCATGATCATTGCGTCCAATGCATAAGGTGAATACGCATATAAATCAAATGAATTTTATGCACAAATGACAATTTTTTTTAGTGTAGTCTTTGTTGCATAGTGGTAATAACATAAAAACTTTTATACTTTTTGTGGTATAATTTTTCATCAAGGTAATTTTTTCACAAATTCAAATGTTCTCAAATACATAGAACATGTGAATGTATTAAGGGTACTAATACTTACCTTGAATCAATTTTTTATGGTTTATTTTATCAATATAATAAATGCTTTTATTTTAACATAACGGAACTAAGTGAATTAATCTTAATGCAATATCTATTGTTGTTTTGGTCATTAAAATTATTTGAATTATAGATATAAATTGCAAGGTAATAAAATAGAATTCAAGATTATCATTAATAGTCTTCTCTATATCAACTTCTAAATAGTAAAAGTTAACATAAAATATCAATGAGTTATGTCATTTAAACCTAAAGATTTAGATTTTTACAATAATTAATTACAAAACACTTTCTCTAACATTATTGTTCAAAGACATGTGATTTTATTATTAAAAATATTTTATTCTTCATATTTTTTCAATACTTTTTTTTCTCAAGCCTTTGCTCAAATGATGTGGTGAGAAGTGAAAAAAATGAAAAAATAATAAAAGAAAGAAGGTGAAATTATATGAATTAGTAAATAGATAAGAAAAATAATCAACATTTGATTGATGGTGATTGATATAGAAAAAATAAACGAAGAAGAAATTGAGATATTTTATAAATAAAAATTATATTTTTCAATTATGAATTTTAATTTAAAAAAAAACATGTAAGAAATTTATTTGTCTTCAATATTATGATTAATGCATATGAACAAAAATAGACAATAAGTATTTATATTTTAAAAAACAATAATTCTGATTATTATATATTTCTAGATACTATTTCTGCATGACCCAAACCTAATTCACCAATTACTGTCTGACTGTTGGAGTGGTAACTTTTTCTTACAGTTTTAGGTACACGTGTTTCAGAAGAAACGCGAGATAGGTAGTTGCGCGTCTCATCAAATAATCAATATTCCAATTTTCCTTGTTCAAAAAAGTTAATTATTTAAAGCCATAGCCATTCTTATTACAAGCCTTTATCTGTCATTTGGATTTATCAATCTTTTCTTTTCCATCTCTTCCCTTCTTCTCTCTCTGAATCGAAACCCTAGAATTCATCGGCTTCCACAATCTGACACCTCTCTCCCCAACGGAACCTATATTCTCTCATCAAACCCTTACTTATCCAAATCCGATACTCCAATCCCCACCCCAATTCCCCGCATCGACCTCACTACCCCAATTCCCCCAATCGCCAAGTTCCAACGGGACAATCCAAGAATCGCCGATTCCGCTGCGGTGGCTAGCGCATGGGTAAGATTCTCCGAGAAACCGCGAAGCCATCGGCGAATTCTTCATCGGCGTGCCCCTCTTCGGCGGCGCCTGCCACCACGTCGTCTACGTCGGTGACGGAGACGGTGAGGGGCTCGCACCAGTTCAAGATCACGGGGTACTCGCTCTCCAAGGGGATCGGGATTGGGAAGTACATGGCCTCCGACGTGTTTTCCGTTGGAGGGTACGATTGGGCGATTTATTTCTACCCAGATGGGAAGAGCGTGGAGGACAATGCGACCTACGTGTCGCTCTTCATTGCCCTGGCCAGCGACGGAACCGACGTTAGGGCACTTTTCGAGTTGACCCTTTTGGATCAGAGTGGCAAGGAGAGGCACAAGGTGCATAGCCATTTCGAGAGGACGCTAGAAAGCGGGCCTTACACGTTAAAATACCGCGGTAGTATGTGGTGGGTTCATATTTAAAAATCAATCTTGAAACAAATATTGTTTTTCAATTTCGTTCTTGTCTTGCATTTTTTGGTGTGTTTGTAATGTGTAGTCTTAAAAAACATTTGTGTTAAGTTGTCTCCGAGCACCTGAATTATAGTTTAACTAGTGGTCTCTCCTCTGAGTCCTTAAATGTTGTCGCTCATATTCGTCTTACCGAGTGGAGTAAGATTGTGTCTAAAGAAGGGTATCAGTGGATTTTACCAAAAAAACCTTGAATGCTTGTTAAAATGTAAAATTGTTAGGCGGTGTCAGGTTTACAGAACGTATGCTCACATGTGCTTTCGAGGAAGCGGTTAAGGAAACAAAAATGGAAAGTATTTATTGAGAAGGATAGCATTTACATGTTTTTAAAAAGTCATTGAATGTTTTTAGTTGGTTGGTTAGGTTTTCCGTAACAAGTAGTACCCCCAAATTATTTAATGGTTTAAGGTACTACAGTTTGCATTTTCATGTCTAGTACCTACCTATCTATCTTATCTTGAATGCCGCTTCTATATACCAATTTGTGTGATTTATCTGAGGCAAGTCTTGTTGGGTGCCATACATTTGTCCTATTTGTCCAATGGAGTGATTTAAGTGGTGATATTATTCATCCCTTGCGAGCTGCTTCTCCTACAAATGCTGTGGAAAAGGGATAAGGGAAAACAATTTGGACAAAGAAAATGGGAAAAATGTTAATGTCCAGTGTTGTCATAATCACAATAAAACTTTCTAACTCATGGTCCTATGAGTTTTCTTTTGGGAGGATTGGGGTGCACGTGGTAACTCGCACAGGGCATCACTAGCTGTGTGGATTGTGTGTTTCATTGTTGATCCGCTTCTATCCTCTTTGCTTAGACGAACAAAGATGCTCTTTTCCACTCTTCAGTTCACTATTGGTAGTTGCCACCACCATTGTCGGATGTTACCATAGTTTTACTGGATGGATGTATTCTTTGTTTTGTGTATGTCGGCTTAGGATTGTTGTGCGGCAGCTGGTTAATGTGTTGGCCTACTTGGGTTATGTTCAGTTTGGGCCTATTTGGGTCTGTTGCGTGTTGTTATGTTTTAGCCAATTATGTTCTATTCTTAGTTATTTATGACTTATTAATTTTTTTTTCTTATCTATGCTATTTTCTTATGAATATGCATGTATTTATAAATATAATTTTGCTTTTTTGGAAGAATTTTATGATTACGTCCCTCAAATTATGATCTTTTACCCCCCCTCCTTGAGTTCGACAATATTGTTTGTGTCTTCATGCCCTTTTACTGATTTTTTTTATTTTTTATTTTCTATTTGCTAATTATTTGCTGTTTTTGGTGTTTCAGGGGATACAAACGATTTTTTAAGAGAACAGCCCTAGAGACATCAGACTACCTTAAAGATGATTGTCTCTCTGTGAATTGTAGTGTTGGTGTTGTGAGGTCACGTACGGAAGGTCCTAAAATCTATACTATAGCAATACCGCCTTCTAGCATTGGTCAGCAATTTGGGCAACTACTGGAAAATCGTAAAGGAAGTGATGTGAATTTTGAAGTGAATGGAGAAATTTTTGCTGCTCATAAATTGGTACTAGCAGCTCGCTCACCTGTTTTTAGAGCACAGCTTTTTGGTCCTATGAAAGATCAGAATACCCAGTGTATTAAAGTTGAAGACATGGAGGCTCCAGTTTTCAAGGTTTGTTAAATGCTCTTTGTGCTTCCATGTTTTATTTCGTTTTTGCTTGTAATGTGGTCACCTAATGTGGTTTGGTTTCTATTTTGCTCTTCATCGTAAACGCATTTGGTTCATGATTCTGTGGTTTTTTCCCTTGACTTTTCTTTTGTAGTTCCATAATAAGGAATTTGTCTTTCTTTATCTCCCCCTAAGATCTGGTGCATGTGTTAGTTGTAATGTATTCAAATAGGTTGCAAAAACACATTTCAATGTTTGTTTCAATCTATATCACTTTTCATGCTTTCCCCCCTTTGATTAAAAGCACATATTCGATTGTATTATTTTTTTCTTTATATGCATCGATATATTAGATAAATTTTGCTGCATTGCTACCCAGATGTTAGTATCCTTTTTTCAAAAGTTTATAAAGAAGTGAAAACAACTTTTTATTATTTCCTTTCTTCATTTTTCCTTTACAAACTCATAAGTGAAATGTTTTCTCTGTCTAAACTAAGCAACTTCTTAGTCTCTAGGCTCTCCTTTCAGAATTGTACATGCTTGTTCTGATCATAAAATAGTTATAGCTTTGCTGAACAAGACACACAAATTCATACATCCAAAGAAAACTCATAATGTAACGATTTACATTAGAATTGGCAGATTCACATGGCCTCTCGGCCATAAGAGGTTATTTGATGGTACTTTTTATAACATATGCTCTGGCTCTGAAGTTGATTTTCTTTGTTTAATTGAACTAGTTTTTTTTTTTTTTTTTTTTTTTCTAAAAGCTACCTTAATGTCAATTCAGTTTTGATAATAAAGGTTAATGAATGTGATTTGATGTTGACATAGTATAATAAATAGCTTATTTCATTTTTAAAATATGCAGAGAAAAATGAGTGGAGATGACAGTGGGAGTTGAAATATTTTTTTCCTTACTTTTGGATATTGTTGTCCTTGGATGGAAATTTCATGCTTTTGGTTTTTGGTAACTGCATTATGAGAAGTACATGGTGATTCTGGTTCCTTACAATTACAACAAGCAACTATGCAAGGCTTGTGTCGAACTCTAATTTTATGTCTCTATGTGTTTAACTTGATAAATTTTACTGAGCAATAAACATGTAGAATGTTTTGTCAGTTGTGCCATGTATTTGTTTTTCAGGCATTGCTTCATTTTATATACTGGGACTCGCTACCAGACATGCATGAGCTTACTGGGTTGAACTCAAAATGGGCATCAACCTTGATGGCTCAGCATCTTCTAGCAGCAGCTGATCGATACGGCTTAGAGAGACTTAGGCTGACGTGCGAAGCAAGTCTCTGTGAAGATGTAGAAATTAATACTGTGGCTACGACTCTAGCCTTGGCAGAGCAGCACCATTGTTTCCAGCTGAAAGCTGTTTGTCTCAAGTTCATTGCTACTTCTGAAAATCTTAGAGGTTTGTTTTTCCCACGTGAACACTCACCAAAAAAGTACTGTATTAAAGGGGGGATTGTGACACTTGTTCGCAAGTTATTGTTACTGAATATCAACAGTGATGCTTGTCAATTGTCATTTTGCTTTCCAGTTTGTATCTGCATGAAAAAAAAAATGCTAAGCTTTAAAGGGATCATATGGTTTAAATTGATCTTTTCTGTGTACATGTAATTAATCCATGCTAAAACATCTCAGTGATGGTCTCAAGTTGACCTCGAAGACTTGTGTCACCAGTTAATTTGTACCATAAATCTTATAAATGATTTTTCTCTCTGTGAATGTTTAAATTTTTCTTTCTGCTTCCTAATTTTTTTTAGGAGAGATAGAATACAAAAGAGAATCTACATTATGGAACAATCAGTTACGTTTTCCAGGATTTTGGTTAAAGGGTTGAAATATTTGGTATTCATATTTAAAACACGTTAGTTATAGATGGTTATTGCCAGAGTTTCTGCTGTAATTTTTCTTGCCATTTTGAAGGAAATTGTTGATAACTTTCTTTATCCCTTATCCAGAAAATTATTATTATTATTATTAACCATTCTATTTAATCTTTTATTCTTCAGCTGTGATGCAAACTGACGGATTTGAGTACTTGAAGGAAAGTTGCCCATGTGTTCTGACTGAGCTATTGGAGTACGTGGCCAGATTTACTGAGCATTCGGACTTTATGTGCAAGCATAGGAATGAAGCACTACTTGATGGCAGTGACATAAATGGGAGGCGGGTGAAGCAAAGGCTCTAGTGTGGACACTGAACAGCTTTCTGTACAACCCTCTTCTACTCTCCGTTTTAAAAGTTAGCGAGAGCTTAGTAGTTAGAGGGAAAATATATATATAATATGTTATAGGATCAGAGGCAATTTTTAAATTTCTTAGCTTATTCTTGTGTAAGAGATGTAAATGTAATTTGTGTTGTTGCTGTTATTGTGCTGGTTGACGTAGGTTTCTGTATTATCTTCAGTCTTTTTACTGGAAAACATGTCCGGAAAATGTTGATCGCTACTTCCCCGTCTGTTTTTGTATTTTTATTCAATCTAGCAGCGAAAGTACTCTTGAACATTTTAAAGTCTTCATCTGACATCTCTGTTTTGTACCCATTATGCCATTACTACAAACGCAACCTTCACATTATTTGTGGGTTGCTTTCACACAAGTCAAATTACTACTTTTCACACAAACTATTTGACCTTTATTATCGACTACGAAATTTCTTAAATAAGGAAATTGGAAAATTGTAAATATTAGATAAGTATGAAGTTTTTATTACCAATTAGACTGGAAAATAATTCCTGTTTAAAATATTAGATAACAGTGTAAACTTTATGCATAATAACATGTACTTTTAAATTACACAAAATTGAATAATTTCATTTTCTTGTTCAAATGTCACAATTTGTACTAAACAATTGAAGTACACGATAGTTTTAGTGCATAAGAATGAGGCGTATTAAATATTTTGTAGATATGATTTGTTAGAAACTTTTTCTGTTTAACTGAGTTTTAAGATAAAATCATTCATGGACATATCTGTAATTTGTGTGAATTGATAAAACACTTTTTTTACTTAACATACGATTCTTTGCCAGGTTTAACTAAAATAGGAGAAATACATATCTAACTGTTAATAGTATATTTTTTTAATATTATACTATTAAGAAAAAAATAGTCAACCGTATTTGCATTTAATTATTACTAATTATAATATATTTAAATTATTTTATAAAGCAATAAGATTATTATTTTTCTATCTTTACACAAAACTAATATAAAAGAGTTTTATTCACAATGTATTAATATTTTTGTCACTAATCTTGATTTATAAAATGGTAAATATATAATTATAATATTAAAAGTATATGTAACAGTTTTATTTAAATAATATTTTATAAATATGAATATTTAAAAAAAGTAATGTTAAAATTATTATTCATAATATTTTTAAATATAGGTAAAGGCAAAATTAGGCTTTGCCTAATCGTTTTTTGTTATTACGAAAAACAGTTTTGCCAAAAATAAAGTGCAAGATAGATTCGGAGTGATTCATATTCCGTGAAAGTTCCTCAGTTTGAAACAGTAATATATACTTACATACTTTTATGACAATGTGTCACATCTCCTCTCACCGGAAGGAATTTTGATTACAGGAATGCAACGGCTTTTTTTTTTTATTGTTTTTAAAATATATTTTTTTTGTTATCTTTTAAAGACTACTTTTTTTTATTTATAACTACTTTATTAAAACAATTTTCAACAATTATTTTAAAAAAAACTAAACTGTTTATTTATTTATTTTGATTTTCATTTTATAATTAGTGTTACTTACCTCTTCAGTTGTATTAATTTGTTTATCATTATAATAAAATTATTAAAATAATTTATAATTTTTATCTTAATAATTTCATTATTATTAATATATCTTTTCGTCTGAATCAATTTTAAATTAGAATAATTAGTATTTTTAACTTAAAAAAAATAATTTGTAATAAATAAATATCGAATATTATTATTATAATCATTTTTAGAAATATCTATTACTCATTTTGCATATATACACGAGTTTAATCAATTTTGATCAAGTTTAATCTATTATTGAGATCAATAAAAAAGTCACGAGTTAAGTTTTTTTCATTCTGTTAATCTAACCCAACTCATCATATTGGATTGAATTTGATTAATTGAATTATGATTTTTTTTTAAATAATTTTGTTATTAGTTTTTTAAATTTTAAAACATTTTTTTAGATTTTTAAAAAATAAAATAAATTATTTATTATTTAAATTGTCTAATAAGATAATATTTTACAAATAGTTAATATAATAATTAAATAAATTAAATGACAAATATAGTACTATTAATATTAAAATTATTTAATAATTTTAATTGAGTGAATTGGAGTAGATCTTAGATTAAACATACAAAATCTATTATTTAACTCACAAGAAATTATGTTAAATTTAATTGAATAGTGTTTAATTCAATTACAAATAAAACCTAATACAAACTACTTAGATTAATCAGGGAGATCACCCAACCATGAACATCCTTATTGGTATTATTTTGCAGTCTTTTTACAAATATATTTATTGTTAAAGAAAAAATATATATATTATAGTCTATTTTGACTAATAATTTACTATTTTTAAAATAAAACAATTGGTAAAATTTAATAAATTTCCACAAATATATTTAAATGGTTTACAAATATATTTTAAATATACATATAAATATATTTGTAATTGTATAAATCAATTTTATTTTAATATAAAATATACTAAAAAGTAATTGATGTCAGCATATAACAAATACGTTTAAAATATAAAAAAAGATTTTTTTTTATCATTCATGAAATTATATATTCTATATTTTATTTTGTATAATGTTATGTGTAGTGAGTATTACTGAATTCCACCTCTTTTTTATATTTTTATGCTTTGGTATTATATTAAACTTCAAGTATATTTACTTTATTTTGCTCTGCATATATAGTAGAACGAGAATAAGGTTAAATTATCGTAGTGGCAGCGTTTGATTTTCCACCACCGCGCCCTATTTTCCTATCCCTTCCAGCGAACATGGTACAGATCCCTTCTTCTCTTTTGTTTTCTGTTTTCTTCATTCTGATTTTGGTTTCAGTGATGAATTGGATTGTGGTGTAGTTGTTCTTCTCGTACTTCAAGGATTTGGTGGGAAGAGAAGTAACCGTGGAGCTGAAGAACGATTTGGCCATCAGAGGGACATTGCATTCTGTTGATCAATACCTCAACATCAAGCTCGAAAACACTCGCGTTGTCGATCAAGACAAGTACCCCCACATGGTAGCCCTCTCTTTATCTCTCGCTCTAGGGTTTATACTTCCTCATCTATTTGTGTTACAAGTTTCCTTTGATGGTGCGTTTTTGTTTGACTTGTGAATTTTAGGTGTTGTTGGTAGAGTTTATTTGGGTTTAAAATTTACTTTGGGATTTCGATTAAATAGATTTGGGAGTTGGTGAGTAGCCTCTGATAACCTTTATTCGTAGGGTTTATTTATTTAGTTAGTTATTTTGGTATAAAATCGGGATATTTGAGTTGTAATGTTCTCTCAGGCTCTATGACTTTGGTCTGATGTAGATGTTGGAGGTTTGAACTATGAACTCACCTGCCTTTCCTCCCTCCTATATCTAGATGCATAACAACTCCACCTTAACCAAGTATTAAAAAATATATTGGATTGTTTAGTGTTCTTTAATTTAAAGTTTGTTTCAAATTTGTTTATCAATTAGTGCAATTTTTAAGCATTGGGCACATGTTAAATAATAAGATTGTTCTGTATCCGAGATTTAAATTGAGTAATGATGTACCTGTGTTTTCTGGTTAATTTTGAGTCATTGTTGTTGACTATGATTTGAATTGTACACCAGTACATGTGAATTGCTAATTGAGGTAGAAAACTTCATTTGAAAGTAACAAGTCAAAGGGAACCTGTCTTCTATATTTAGCATACATTCTTCATTAATTTTCTGTTTGTATGCGTTGAAGAGTGGGTTCAAGTTTCTTCTTGAATTCTTCATGGGGTGGTGCCTACAATCTGCCAGAATTTAAAATATTAGATAAAGAGAAAAAATTATGCCCTTAATATTTTGATTAATGGTTTTATAAATTGATAATTTTATTTGTGTAACTGTAATTTGTGTTTTAGAAAATAGTTATGTCACCTGAAGGATGTTAGATTTCTTTATTGGTTTCTTGATAGAAACATTGAATATGAGATTTTCTCCAGTTTCTTGGTTCTGTTTTTGGGCCAACATCGGGGTTCTCATTTGCATGGTTAACCTGTCTTTTTTATACTCTTCTATATGCCTGTTCATGAGTTTCTATGAAATGGACTTTCATTGAAAGTGTTTGCCTATATTTGCATCCGATAAGTTGCTTTTGTTACTTCAAATTTAAATGTCAAATGCACGAAGGATATGTTCAAGGTGATTTTTTACTTCATCAACATTTTAAAAGAGTAGGACAATCAATTAATTGGTACTCCTCTGGCAATAGTGGGAAAGTTTAAGGATCTGAGCGAGGCTGTTAATGCTCAACTTTCCTATCTCTGCTTTTCTATTATGTTTTATGAATACATACATATATATATATATATATATATATATATATATATATATATATATATATAGAGAGAGAGAGAGAGAGAGAGAGAGAGAGAGATAGTAACTTGCATCTCGTTGATTGTTGGAAATTAGGAAGTATGTGAATTGAGCTTTGGAGTTCACAACTTTATATATGTTAGGTACTTATTGTCTTTGAAGGGATGCTCGATTGAATTAAGGTTATATTGCAATTTAAGATAATATAAAACAAACGAGGGATACTCACTTTTAGGATATCATTGCAAAAAGATTGCTGAATACTGATTTGTTACGAGAAAACCATCTCTTGAATTGAAAGGAAGAAAAATATATAGCTTAGTTTTTTCTCCGGTTATTTTTGTTATTTTTAGCTCCGTTAACGTGTGATTATGTGATTCAGCTTTCTGTAAGAAACTGCTTCATCAGAGGTTCGGTAGTGAGGTATGTGCAATTACCTCCAGAAGGGGTGGACATTGAACTGTTGCACGATGCCACGAGGAGAGAAGCTCGTGGCGGTTAGTGTGGTCACCTTGTGATGTATCTTTAAATGAAAATTGGGTAGGCTTTCCATATGGTTAGTCCTACCACAGAAGGAAACTCTTTTTCAGATGTTAAGGCTATGGAACTGTATTGCATTTTCCTTTTATTTCTTTTGGATGCTTTGTCCAGTTTTAACGTGACAAAATGATACTAGTGTAACCGCATTGCTCTTTCCTTCCCTACGTCTTCTTTGATCCAAAAAGACATATCGCAAGTATAATCCACACACCCACCCATCTACAGCTTAGTGCGTCAGATATCTGAATTGATGATTCTGACGGTCTTTAAAAATGAGTTTAATTTCCATATACATTGTGAAATATTTTGATTGTGCTTATTTTGTTTCATAGAAAAGTTGTTTCCATATATTTTGGTTGTGGAATTATCATAATTTATAACGTGAGAATAAATAAAGCAAAAATTTAATCAAAAGACAAAATAGGAAAAGGGAAAACACCTGGAAAGAAGGCATGATGAGTTGTGAGAAGTAGCACATGGAGAAGTGTGTAGAAGCGCATGAAGAGGAACCCATATGCATGTGATGGTGTGTGTACACACATGAGAAAAGTGACAAGAGACACTCGAAGTTGCATCGAAGGAGATGCCCTAGATGCTCTACGAGAATGAGCCACTGTTTACATGGTACTTTGTGTTGTGATTCTGGAATAAAGAAAAAAATTGAAAGAATTTTGGAGTCCGATGGCAACAACGACAAAGAAGGTAAATAAAGAATTTTTTTTCCAAATTCTAATAGGCAAGGTCAAAATAATAATTATAATAAAGTCAACCATTAGTCTGAAGCTATTTCTACCTTTAAGTCTTATGGGTTTTGGGATAAAGTGAACTAAGCTAAAAAAGTATATTTATTTCTTTAACATCTTTTTTGAAAGTTTGATTTAATTTTATATGTAGGTAATAAAGATATTGAAGAGGTGGAGTCAAGTAGAAATATTAAAAGTGTAAAATGAGTTAAATAGGTTCAAAGTGCGATGAGATCTAAAGGTTTCAAAGTACGGGACTGAGAAAAAGATTATCAAAGTACGAAATCAAGCTAAAAATGCTTCACCTGGGAAGCTACACTAAATTTTTCAAGGAAAATTTGAGTTAAATTATAGGAAATTCAGGAATTTATTAGATATATGTTAAATGGTGTGTATATTCTACATTTATTAAATAAAGAAAATATAAGCATGAGGCAAAAAAAAAATTCATAATTTAGTAATAATGTATTAGTTTGGATAACTTGTCATTGAGTTTGTCCATGTCATTATGAAAATAGTTTTACGTTGTGTTTGGGTGAAGTAACTGAAATGGGGTATTTAATTTATTTATGAATTTAACTTTTTTAGAGTAAATTATTTGATTCTGTAAAAAAAAAATAAAAAAATTGAAATTTCCTAATTGTTGAAAGTCTCACGTCGCCTACCTCATATCATTTGGTATGGTTTAAATACATGTTAGACTACTTCACATATTGTCAATTGGTTTTATGTTGGAACCTTAACATGGTATCAGAGCCAAAGTCTAACATCTTCCGGTTATTATCATGGGCCAAAAGTTGCCCTTTAGTTGGGTCAAAAATACCCTTTGCCTGGTCCGGCAGGCTTCGTTGGAGGGGGTGTGTTGAAAGTCCCACATCGCCTACCTCATATCATTTGGTATGGTTTAAATACATGTTAGACTACTCCACATATTGCCAATTGGTTTTATGTTGGAACCTTAATACTAATTTTTAAAATATGATTCAAATAACTGAAATTTAAAAATTTAAAATAATTCTAAATATAATAAATTTGAAATTTAATTTAGAAGAAAAGAAATGCTCTTGCTTATTCCTTTTCCCATCTTAGATTTACTGGTTAATTTCTCTTTGCTTTCACTCTCTCACCCTCCACATCTTTGCTCTCACTCTATGTATACACTCAACAAATACACTTGTTGAATGAAAACTGTGAATTTTGTGATGATTGCAATACTTCATTTTGTCTAACGAAGGATTGGCTCGTCTATTAACAAAACACTTTATTGCCAACTTTTAAATAGAAGAAAAAGGTCTTTTTTTTTCTTCATACATTGAAACTAGAGAAAGGAATAAGGGACATTGTTGGCGACCAAAAGACATTCTAGAGCACTGTAGACCTTAAACTTTTAAAACTTTGTTATGAGCACTGTGATTTAGAAGAGTAGTTAATATCTAGTATATTGAGGTTGGATCTAATGAATATAAATGGTTCAAAGTTTATTTGTTTCAATATACACCTTCTGAATATGTTTCTAAGTTTGATCTTAATACTTAAATATGTATGGTTTTTTCATATATGCTTATGTTACTTCTATACATTGAAAAAAGATTTTGAAGTTATGATCCAAGATTAAATAACTAAGTATTCATGTTAAATATAATAATATGTCTATTTTGAATCATTTGAATGTAATCCAAACAATTTGTGAAAATGATTAAGGAATTAGTTAATTTTACTAATGGTTTAGAATTCTGTTTTTAGGAATTTGGAACTGAAATAACTATAGTGTAAATGTTGGAACAGTACAAGGAATTTATTGGAATAAAAAGTTGTTTGCAAAGAGTCAATTAAATCCAAGTGATAATTTATTTAAAAATATTTTAGTTCTCCATATTTTCATTATTCTTGCTTGATGAATGATAAAATAGGCAAAACTATTTTTGTAACTATCAGTTTTAACTAGTAAACGTGCACTCTATTTAAATGAATTCTTATCTCTTGAAAAAGACATTTGGACTTTTCAAATTATTACTTGCACAATTTGGTATACTTGCCAAAAAAATAACATTTTCTTTGCAACATTTTATCATGTGCAACAGTATAGAAATATAATGGGTGTGGGAGGTGCACTAATAGAGAAAATTGCATTAAAAGTTTAATCACAAAGATGGAATTGTACCAAAATAATTGTGGAAGGTGCACTAATATAAAAATTTACATCAAAGATTCATGCATATTGATGTGGTTAGACCCATATGTGTGTGAGAGACACACTAAAAGAGAATGTTGCGTAAGAGATTCACACGAGTCCTACTATTACACCCCACATGGGTGTGGGATGGACATTAGGAGTACAGAATGCATCAAATGTGTGACCCTAAATGAGTGGGAGAAGCATTATTGTGAAAACAACATTAGAGGTTTGTCTACGCAAATGCTGTTGCACCGATATGGATGTGGTTCGACAATAAAACTGCGTCTGTGCCTGCCCAAATAGATGTGAGAGACATTTTAATATAGAAAATTACATCAAAGCTTTATGTACGAAACTGTAATTGCAATCACAAAAGTTGTGGAAAACAAACTAACATACAAAACATGTTAAAATAATTGAATTTATGAAAAATATTTCAATTACATAATTATTCTTTAGTGGAAATAATTGATTTATTAAATTACAATTGAAGATATAATAAAATAATATTGGGAGATTTAACAATTTCAAAACTATAAATAGTATAGATATATAATTAAAATTCACCAAATAGTTCAAAATATAAATTCTCGAAAATATATATATATATATAAACATAGATATATGTTACTTCTAATTACAAGTCTATTATTGTTAGAGTTGACCATATGTAACATTTGCTCGTATGCTCGTGTAAACACACAATTATCATTGTTTAAATAAAGGAACATATCAAATACATAATATAAATTAATAATTTAATTTAAGTATGCAAATTCAAATATGAGATAAAATAATATATTTCAACTCCAAGTTTTTATATATCACATCACACCCATAACTGTTTATATTTACATCACACAAATACCAAATGACTTCCAGAAGACTAGATATTGAAATAGATACAAGAGATTTGCATTTGTCACATCACAACTCCCTAAGTGCATAAGACAAGGAGCTCAGTTTGATATATACACTCACGTATAACCAAGGTAAATTTTGAAATTATTTATCATAATACTTTTTTTTTACACCGCAAACTAAGTCATTATAAACCTCCTTCAACTCTCACCATCTGATCATTTTATCTATGTGATTTCAGTGATTAGTAGAATCAGGATATCCTCTCAAGTCCCAAATTAATATTTATACATACAACACTACACACATGAGGATACCCTTTGGTAATTTTCATATCACAACACAACATTTTTCAAGGAACATAATAACATTCAACACACCTCATTTCATATTCATATAATCTATTTTAATATCTTAAGATATATACGTATCATTTCTCACATTATAACAAAATATAATTTTTCTATTTTGACATCTACCTACTCTTTTGATCATAACTTGTTTTGTAAACATTTTTTTAACTAATTTTTATTATATTGGATTCTTTATTTTCGGGGCTTCAATCTTCATATATAGAACATTTAGTTTGAAGTTTAGATTTATTTTTTATGATTTTTAGAAAAAAAAAAACTAAGTGAATTTGAAAGTGCCAAGTGAATTTCATATCGTTAAGTAAAATTTTGACAAAATAGAACTTCCAACATTGCCCAAAATCCACTAGGTAAATCTCAAAGCACCGAGCAAAAATTTGGTAGAATAACCTCCAATATTGTCCAAAATCCGTTGGATGGATTGGAAAAGGCTTAACGAAGTTTAAACATTTTTAACATTGCCTTAAATTTCTTGAGCAAATTTAGATCCGTTAGGCAGATTCGTGACAGTAACAAACTACATAAACTACTAAATCCCCTGTTTATAATATTCTAAATCAAATTAATTCTAAACATTTCCCTCCAAATTTTAAATCACTAAATTCAATTTAAGAATAATATATTCATACAAAAAACTATTATTTTTAATCTCATAGACATCAATTTACATTCACAATCAATACAATTATCACAAATAAACAAATACATAATCATACAACCTAATTTTCTGAAACTCAAACAATGTGACAAAGTCAACTTCACCATCTACGTCTTCTAACCTAAAGTACTATAAAAATTGAAAAATAACTAACTTCTCTTACCTCCAACACATTGCCTCCATGTTTAAAAAACTTCTAATTTTTTAGAAAAATAGATCTTGCTCATCGAAAATTTAAATTAACAAATTGAGCATATCACAATACTCCTAAACTAGTCAATATTTATCTTTTCAGCAAAAAAGTCTACATGCAAGTCCCCAAGATCCACACATGTAGACTTAAACTCAAAATATACAAAATTGTCTAAAATTGGAAAAAGAGAAACATATTCCATTCAAAATTCTGATTAAGTAGAAATAATTTCCCCCTGTTGAGAATTAAGACATACTTGAATATAAAAAATAGATGAGCGAGGAATTCAAATTAAAAAAAAATCGAGAAAAAAATAATTATAGAGAAATATTAATTTTGTGAGAATAAAATTGAAATTATTAAACTTTTTTATTTATAATTTTTTTAACTTATATAATAAAACTTTAAACTTATTTTTATTACATCACGTTTATTCTTAGTTAAATCCTCCTAGAAGATAGGAAATATCTTTCAACAATCTTCACTGATGCGTTCAACGTCGGGGTATTGATTTAAGTTGCATATTTTAAAATGCTGTAATAAAATTTGAGGTATTTAAAATACCACATAGTTAATTCATGTAATGGGATGGTATTTTTCATAGATTACATATTTATAAATTCATGGTATTTAATGGATTATTTCGATAGATCTAATAATTTTAATATTATTGTAATATTTTATGGGAGATAAGAGTTATAATAGATAATAATATAATACTTATTAATTAATAAGAGAAAATAATTATAATAATAGTGTTGATAGAATGATTTAGTAAATGGACACTCTTGATTCACGTGACACTAGTTATTATCATGACTTGCTTTCAATGACTAAGGAAAATAAATATTAAACCATTACCATTATGTAATTGAAAAATCAACATCTACAATAGGGGAAGTATTCGAAAGAAATAACTCGAGTCTCATTTCTCATCTGATAAAAATTGTAACTTTATATGCGAAGTTTATGAAATTGCCCATATGATATACTCAGACTAGCCGTTTGTATGTTCACATAATTAAAATAGTTTTTAAATACATGCTATTAATAAATTAAAGAAAAAAGGTAAAACATTAATATTTTATGACGACACTAAATGTTTTTTATTTATATGATGAAGGAAAGTGTATGCCAAATATTTTATTTAAAATTGAATATGTTTGTTAAGAATAACATATTTGATTTTTGATGAGAAAGTTGAATTATGGACAGTAACATCAAGATGATTCAAATCAACAAGTGAGTAAAAATTTAAATATTAACACTGAGTTGAATTAATTTTTTTAAATATTTATTTACTAGTTTATATGATATTATTTTTAATTAATAATATAATCACATATATATATATATATATATATTAATCCCACAATATATTAAATATAAGCATAAGAATTTATTATGTAACTAATATATATATATATATATATATATATATATATATATATAGAGATGGTAAATAATACTAAATTTTAATTTTTATAATAAAATAACTAACTATTTAAATGTATTAAATAATAATTAATTATAAAATTATAATTAAATTTATAAAATAATTAACCGAATATATATAATAGGAATAAGTACACATGTTAATTGATTATTCATAAATTTTATATATTTTAAATTTAATAATTGGTCTTGCAATAAAACATAATTTAAAATAAATTAATACTTTTCCCAATAATTTTTATAGGTTATATGAAATATTAATTTATTTTTTTATTCCATTATACTCTTTATTTTAAATATATTGTATTTTAATAAGAAAAACTTATTTTTGAATATACGTTATGAATAAAATTTAAGCTTGGACTAATTACTGTTTTTTTTTTGTAATTATACTTATTATAGAAAGAAATAATAATTTATTAAAAATATTTTTAGATAAAAAATATTAACATAATAAAATATTAATAAATTTATTAAAAATAAAAAAAATTAACATTTATTAAAAATTATAAATATATATTTTATTAATAAATAGTAAAAAATTTTAAAAACATCATAACATGATAAATTGGATACCTGACATTAGTAATATTATTCCAAAAAACAAGAAAATTAACTGAATTAATTATTTATTATTTTATAGAATTATATTATAATTGATTATATTAACTATTTTATCGATTTTTGTGATAATATTATAATTCAGATATATTAAACATCAGATGAAATATTTAGAATTTGTAATAATAATGATTAATGGAAATCAACATTTATATTTCTTGGAGGAAAATATTGATTGACAAATTGAAAAAAATATTAGCTAATTTTTTTAATAATATAATATAATTTTTAAGTATTTCTATTTATTTATAAATATTATATTAATAGACAGAACTTTCATGATTTGTTTCATACATCTTGCATAACTCTTCTATCTTTCTCACTAGTATTCTCTTCTCTCTTCCCTCTTTCAAAATTCTGTTTCTCTCAATTCCCTAACAATGGAAGTTCCCGCGCAAACCAGCGAGGTTGATGCGTGGGACGAGGTCCTACGCCAAACGATGTTGGCCCTGGAGGCCAACGCCGATCCTTACGCTTGGGCCTTCGATGTCAGTTTGACACTTCGCTCCTCCGCCATTGCCATCCCTTCCATTGAACTCGCTCACCGCTTAGTTTCTCTCTTCTTTTGGGATAACCACTCGGCCGCCGCATGGAAGCTTCTACGCACCGCCCTGTCGCTCGACATGATCCCTGGCTCCCTCCTCATCGCACTTCTCTCCGCCAAGTAAGGTTACCTCTTTCCTTTTTCTCTTTTTCACTTCTTCTGTGACATTTATGCTCTTCGAATTAATTTAATTATTCATTTATCTGGAATGTGTTTATTGAACGTGCGTTTTCCTTGTCGTGCTTAATATTACATCTATGTATATTATATATATATATATATATATATATATATATATATATATATATATATATGTATGTATGTATGTATACGTATCTGAAGATGTAGAATCACTGAATGAGCGAATTCGTACTGTAACGTCGGTTGTGCTCAATTTGTTATTGGTATAGTTTTTTCTGCGTGGTTGGTGGTAAAGATAGACAAAAAGGTTAACCAGTTTTGGTTTACAGGAAAAGTGAAAGTTTGACGCTACTAACATCTGAATTTATTTTTATGGAAGAACAACGCACGGTACCGCAACCGCAATAGAGAGCATTCACTGAATTATTTATTTGCTTAACTGGTTATTACTGCAGGGTTGTTCCGAGCAGAAAACTCTACCCTACTGCTTACAGACTTTATATGGAACTACTCAAGCAACTTCGCGATATGCTTGAACATGATGTCAGTTCTCCCAACTATGAAAAGTGAGGTCCAACTCCAACTGAACTTGCTGGACAAGAATTGTTTGTATTAGCTTCTGAATTTGTTTAGCATTTCGGATATTCTATTATTATATAGGTTTGAATGTGAGCTATCATTGCTCTTGTTCAAATTAAACTGAATAAATCCTATCTAATACAACCAAAGCAAAATCTATCCAGTGATGTTGTATTGAGTCTTCGTGTGCGTTTGGTTTGCTATTGTGAATCATTGGATAATTTAACTCAAAAGCTACTATCTGTAGCTTTTGTTTTTCTTTGATTTGTTTTGAAAATTTGAGGATAATTGCGATATAGACATCAATTCAAATACATTGCTCATCTCGTGGTATATCTATTCTATTATTATAGAAAGAGAAACAATGTTCTGATAGCTGTTATTGTAAAAACATCTTCCAACGACCCAATATACTGCTATAATAATATTATTTATGGTTGTAGGTAAGGAGTATTGGGTGTCAAAATATCAATACTCTTACAGCAATTTGCGTTGGTTAGAGGTTGGTGGTGTATACGTTACTGTCTAATGTCGATCTTCTAGGATAAAGGCTCACCTTAGTAGCCTAACTTACAAAAGACCACTACAATACATAAAATGTTGTTTTTAAAATTTGTAGTCCTAATATTGTTTAAAATTTTTTTGTATATATGCTAATAATGTGCTAAAAAATCATTCAAATTTCATGCAAAGGAATTGGGATGCTTCAATGATATCGACATAAAAAGACCAAAACACCAGCTATCCAGTTTGCTATTGGAAGTTTTAACATATTACTTATGCTTAATGGCCCTGAAAGTGTTTGCAATCCCACAAAGTAAATTGCTTCTTTGTTATGAAGATTTTGTTTTTATGGTGCTTGAGTAAACTACTTAGGAAAACAAACAAAAGTAAATCTCCTTGGCATTTTCTGATATTTGACAGTCTTGTTTTTAGGCTTTATGTGTCTACGTGAAACTACTTGTATTTCTGTCTTTAACAATTTTGTCCCTCAGGCTCAAACCATTGACCACATAAATTAAGATGAGATTTTAGAGTTTGACATATTTTGCTGAGAATTAGGTATTAGGTATATTTGAAGGATCTGTATGTGAAAAGAGACAAAAGATTGCATCTATTTCATTGTTGGCAAAAATATATTTGACTTCTCTTCAAATTTCAATGTTATCTCCTAATAAGACTGCATTTCATCATTTGCTATTAGATATTTATATTAGCTTCTAGATAAAGGAAACATAAATCTGCTCAAGTAGTTTCTCGAACGTTTTTCTCCTTCTCTTTTTCAGGGTATGGGAAGGTTCGTTGTTTATTTCTGAAAACTAATAATTACATTTCAAACCGATGGTTTTTTAGGATTATGAAATCAATTGATGATGATCTTCAGCTTTCTCAAGTATACAGTCAAAAGTTGTGGGAGCCAGGAGTTGTTCTGGTTGAATTTGTCTTTTCAATCGTATGGCAGTTACTTGAAGCATCATTAGATGATGAAGGGTTACTAGATCACACTACAGAGAATAAGCCTATATGGTTATGTAGATCACATGATATGAATATTGATGAACCTGACAGCTTAGGTGAAGAGGACACTGAGCAAGTGGAGGGGTGTCAGAAGAAAAATACAGCAATAGCCATTGAGATCATTGTAGAACTTTTGCAACACGAAATGACTTCAAGGATCCTTTCCTTAGTTCATTGGAACATGTAAGAACTTAATTCTCATATGCTTTGCATAGGGTAAATTATATACTCATTTGAGAATATCTCAATTAAGGTTTTGGAACCTTTTATTGAAGGGAAGTTATCTCTGTAGGTCATCACATTGGGGGTCTTTCATTCACCAAACGCAGCTGCTTGTATCAAACGCTTCACTTTTTGAGAATTTGAGAAATAATGCTGCAGAGACCCTTTTGAGTTTGACGCAAAATATCCATGAGGTTGTTTCTCATGAGTTCAAAAGAAAATCTAAGATGAGGTCTAATGAATTCATTTCTGCTGGTTCGCTGATGTCTTTTGCTGGGCAATCTTATGGGGATAGTTGGTCTTCACTCTGGCTTCCTATTGATCTTATCCTGGAAGATGCTTTGGATGGAGGGCAAGTAGCAGCATTTAGTGCTATTGAAATTATTACAGGTGTGATTCGTTTTTTTTTTTCCTATGTCAAAATTTTTTGGGGAAAATAACTTTACAAAGAAGAAAAGGCACTTGAAGAAAGAGTCCCGGCATTAACTGCTTTGAATTCATTCTGTTCGAGCCTTCCCTTTCTTCCATTTCTGGTTTCATAGTTATTATGGTTATTTTTTTCGTTCCATACGCACCGATATTTTGAGTCTTTCCAGGATTCTTTTTTTGGCTTCCTTTAGAAACTAATTTGATTTTTATTATTTCAAGGCCCACATTATGGTTTTACACAATGAAATTAATACGAATCTTACTAAACCTTCTGATTCAAGTCAAAGAGAGAGAGAGTAGAAAGTAGAAATTGTTATTCCCCTGCCCATGAAACAATGACACCTTCTAGCTTCATCATGTTGGAAAGTTGTCTTAATTGTAGTTCGTCTTAATTATATTCTCTTTTGGCTGCCTTAATTGGAACCTCGAGGAGTGCGTTTGGCCTCACATTACCAAGAAATATATAGAACATATAAACTTTGACAATCCTCACATATATAAGCTAATTTTATGGGCTTGAGTTAGGCTCTAAGTCAAAATTCTAAGACATTCAAGAATCATGCCAAACTACTCCAACAGTGACAGCTTGTCTTTGGCAGACAAAGGATTAAAAAACAACCAGAAAATTATCTATAGAAATGGCAAAATGCAGAGCGACAAAGTAGATATCACAGAATAAAATCTGACTTGTAACAATTAGAATTGCTGGTATTTTTACAAAGAAAAGGTTGTTAAAAGATGATGGGAAAGAAATGTGAATAGTGATCTCTAGTTTTTCCATGTGTGAAGACATGGAAAAACAATCCAAATGGCATCTTTTGAGTGGAGTTGAACTGAGTACCTGATGTAAATGACAAACTTTCTTTTATTTTTATTTTCCAATCACTGTCATTTGAACTTGTAATTGCAGGTTTGGTGAAGACTTTGCACGTAGTTAATGGCACTATGTGGCACAAGACATTTTTGGGTTTTTGGGCTGCAACACTGCGTTTGGTTCAAAGGGTTGGAATTGTTCCAACAAAAACGGTATGGAGCCAATGAATTCTCCCGGAATTATTGCTTGATGAATTTATTCCTGTGGTATGATCAACAATAAGGAAAGATGGTACTGCATGTCATTTTGCATTTTTTACTTTTTCTGTGTTGGTACATGGCACTTTTACATTTAATTTATTGACTTGTCGTTTATAAAAAATCTAGTGACACCGGAAATTTGCATGCAATTGTACTCTAAATAATGTTCACATAACAATAAATCAACAATTATATATTCACCATGTTATTTTAGGAGAAGGATTCAAAAGAAAGTCCTATTTCGCGCCTTGATACCTGCATGTGTATGCTACTTAGCATTACAACCCTCGTGGTAACTTGTATTATTGACGAAGAGGAAGGTCAACTGATCGAAGAAGCTGAACATAGCCATACAACAAACAAAGGGACAGATAAACAGGCTCTGGGGAAGTGTCGTGGGGAATTGATTACCAGTTTACAGCTATTGGGTGATTATGAGTCCTTATTAACTCCACCTCAACCTGTTCTTGCGGAAGCCAATGAAGCTGCTGCCAAAGCTATTTTGTTCTTATCAGGAAACCCTGTTAGTAGCGGATACTTGGAATATATGACCACGAATGGCTTGCAGATGAAATGTTAGTGAGTAATTTCTTTTATTCTGGTGATGGAAACCTGTAAAAATTTCTTTTTGACGGTAGAATTTGTACTTCTAACTGATATGTATTCTTTTTATGATTTTTTATTGCTTGCCCAAATAGAATACACACTGTGAACACACAGTCAACATTGCTTATCAAATTTTTTTTTTCTCTCACTCTATATCACACATCACAATTATAGTTGTCCATAGTTTTATTAGTGGAGTTGGCACCTTTACCTTGGTACTGTGGTATTTAATCATATTTTGGTAATTTGGTCATCTTGGAATCCTCTTTTTGCCTCTGTTATTTTCTATTTCGTATATGGCTATTTCATAAAAGTCTGTTCATATTTTTATTCTGAATTCCTTATCTTTTATGGCTTTGGAGAACGGCATCTCTATATTTTTTTTTTTTTGTGTTTTTTCCTTGCAGCTGGCAACTTACGGCATCTAATTGTTGAGGCTTGTATCGCAAAAAACCTACTTGATACATCAGCTTATCTATGGCCTGGCTATGTGAATGCATGCAGCAATCAAATTCCTTGTAGCATTTCTAATCATGTGTCCGGTTGGTCTTCGTTGATGGAGGGATCGCAGCTAACTCCTGCATTGGTTAATGTCTTGATTGCAACTCCAGCTTCCAGGTAAGCAGGTCATAGTACAAGAGATTTCACATCTACTGTAGATATAACTTAACCGCAGTATTTAAGTTCATAACAAATCTCACTTAAGATTGTGTAGAATTGAATTAGACTCGTGCTTATTCTATAATTTAATATCAAATCAATCCTAATTTAATAGAGACATGACCAATTTATAATATATAAATAAGATGTAAACTTATCCTTCCAAGTTAGTTTTATAAAGTTAAGTTAGATGTATATTCATATATTGACAATGTAGGTTGAAATTTTTGTATCAATTGTTATTGGACATAAATATCCCACAATTAAGATGCTTAGTCGTCGATGTGAGAGAGTGTATTAGGAATTTTATTTCAACTAGATATATAATCAAATTATAGTATATAAGTGAAGTATAAATTTTCTTATAAATCGATTTTTTATGATTGAATTAAACTCGTTTATTTTCCAAACATAGTTCCTATGCCCCTTCATTTGGTTTTCGGAAAAATATGAGGAAGGTGGTTGATTTACGCTAATATGGAATAATAGAAATAACAAAAGTATACTGTATAGTATATAGAGTTGCTATCTCTTCAATATAGTTCCTGGATAAAGAGAGTTACTCATCAGGAAAATACATGGAAATTCTTATTGTTTTAGATCAAATATAGATTTATAATTTCTTTGCACTATATATGCATATACATTAATGGAGCCTTCATGTAAGTGAAAGTGGCAGCCATCCGATCATTGATAGTATTGCATAATATCTGCTCTACAGTACAGCATACCGTGCACCCTTCTTTTCATGAAGCCAGTATTAGATGCTTGTTTTGAAAATTTGTAAGGCAACTGAATTCATGGTTTTCGATGGAAGCTTAGAAGAGCTTGAGAAAATATATGAAATAGCAATCAATGGTTCAGATGAAGAAAAGATATCTGCTGCTACTATTCTATGTGGGGCATCTCTGGTACGTGGGTGGAATGTACAGGTACTGTTTTCAGCGTTCCATTTTTTACCAGTGAGAAACTTCTACACTTTTCTTATATTTTTAGCTTGTTTAGTGTGTCTTCTGTCCCTTCTTTAATTTTGTCTGTTATTTTTTTAAGGTTTACATCATCTTTGTTTGCAGGAGCTTACTGTTCTTTTTATCACAAAATTGCTTTCGCGTATAGATCCTCCTAATTACTCTGGGGCTGACAGCCATCTAACCAGTCAAGCTGCATTTTTAAACGTTCTTCTTATGGGAATCTCATCTGTAGACTGTGTTCATATATTCTCCCTACATGGTTTGGTATGCTCTGTTTTAATCCGTGTAGTTTGACAGACACCTATTATTGTCAACTAACCTTTTTCTTTATAAATTGGGTTCTTAGTTTTCATAAAAACTAATGGAGGATGGAATGTTATTGAGAACCATAGTATATGTTGCATGTACATTCTTTGCTTATATGTTGTATTTTTGCCATTTACTACAGGTTCCATTGCTTGCCGCAGGTCTAATGCTAATATGTGAGGTTTTTGGATCACTTGTTCCAGATGCCATGGGAACTCTTGCAACCGGAGAAAATCTCACTCATTGGGAGGTATTCTCTAATGCATTTACTCTTCTGCTGAGGTTCTGGCGGTTTGATCATCTACCTGTTGAGCGAGTGAGGAGCGGTGCAACAACTCCACCATTTGGATCACTACTTAGTCCTGATTGCCTTTTATTAGTCCGAAACAGTAAATTGGCATCGCTTGGAAGAACAGCAGAGGATCGGCAAAGGCTGAAAAGATGGTCAAACATTTTAAGCTTTCCTGTAGAACCTGTATTTATGGATTCCTTCCCAAAATTAAACTTTTGGTACCGGAAACATCAAGAATGCATTGCTTCTACCCGCTCCGGTCTTGTGCTTGGAAGGCCTGTTCATCAGATTGTCGATGCCCTACTAAGCATGATGTTTAGGAAGGTGAGTTATGGTGCCGAACCTTTGACACCTACGACTTCAGGAAGCAGCATTTCATCTGGGCTTGCAATGGATGATGCTTTAATGAAACTAAAAGTGCCTGCCTGGGATACCCTCGAAGCTATTCCCTTTGCGCTGGATGCTGCTCTGACATCTTGTGCTTATGGGAAACTCACTACCCGTGAACTAGCTACAGGTTTGCCTTGTTCTCCATTTGTTTACATAATTTTTAACTTGAACTTAGCACGATTATAACGAGAGCTGATGCTAAATAACGAAAGAATGTCACAATGTGATAGAAATGAAAATGATGATGATATTGATCATTAAAGGAAGTGATGAAGATAGTAATGGTAGTGGTGGTGAGGATGGCAAATGACTGGAAGAGTTAAGAATAATAAGATTTTTTTTTTAAAATAAACGTAAAAATGTTTTTAAATTGATTTAAAAATCATTTTGATTTTGTACTGATCACGTTTTGTCATAAAATTTGTATTTGATAACTAGAATGAAAAAACTTGAAACTTCTCGTGTCGGATCTAAAAAATACAGAGTGGAGTCCTCGTGAAAAATAACAGTACAAAGTACAATTACCGTTTCAGTCTTCGTGGAGTAACGTAGGCCCACCGGCTTTTAATTACATTCTCTTAAATAGCCCACGATGCTTCTTTAAGGTGGCGTAGAGGAAATCTAGATATTGAAAGCGAACCATATATTTGAGAAATTTGCAATGCTGCTTTTTCAAACTTTGTTTAGTATGCTTGCTGTGTAATTTGATTTTCAGGTGCTATTTTTTTTCCTTCTCAGGCCTGAAAGATCTAGTGGATTTTCTTCCGGCTTCTTTGGTTACTATTGCAAGTTATTTTTCAGCTGAAGTTACGCGGGGCATATGGAAGCCAGCTTTAATGAATGAAACTGACTGGCCCAGTCCTGCAGCAAATTTACCCCTTGTTGAGCAACAGATAAAAAAAATCTTAGCAGATGTCGATGTCCCAAGCCTTGACATAGGTAAATTGGTCTTAGTCTCCACTCTAACTTTTTATTCTTTTGTTTTTTTTTTTTAAATTAAGGAGAAGAATTCAAACGACAATCCTAAAAAACAAAAGTAATAGGTAACCAATGTAAAAGAAAACATTTATTATTATATTGCAAATTAGAAAAATTTAAGTAATTGAAAACATTAATTATTTGCAGAAGGAAACCCTTAACGGACATTGTCACAAAGATGCATATTCTTTTAAACAGTGAGTCAGGACGAATTATATTAATTAACTGGCTATGTGGTTGACCAATGAAATCCACCCGTTACCTGTATTTGCATTTATTATTCTATGTGGAAACAATTTGTTCATGATATTGACACTATTTTTTAATTCCATGTAGATGGAAACTCTCCCGCTACACTTCCTTTGCCTTTGGCAGCTTTTGTAACCCTCACGATAACAGATAAACTTGACAATGCCACTGAACGATTCCTTGCACTGATTGCCCCTGCTGTGAGTGCCCTTGCTTCTGCTTGCCCCTGGCCCTCCTTGCCAATTGTGACGTCTTTGTGGATCCAGAAGGTGAAGCGTTGGAGTAACTACTTTGTGCTCTCTGCTTCCAGCACTGTTTTCCGCCACAACAGGGATGCTGTAGTTCAACTACTAAAAAGTTGCTTCACATCCACCCTTGGCCTTGGCTCTGCCTGCATTTATAATAATGGCGGCATCAGTGCCCTCCTTGGTCATGGTTTTGTTTCCCGAATATCCGATGGGATCTTTCCAGTTGCTCCAGGAATTCTTTACCTAAGAGTGTATCGGTCTATTGGAGATATCACGTTATTGATTGAAGAAATTGTGCCTATTCTAATGCTTTCGGTTAGAGACATAGCAAGGAGTGATTTGGCCAAGGGGGGTATAAGGAAACCAAAGAAAACCAAGTTTGGGATAAAACATGGCCAAGTTTCTCTGGCCAGATCCATGGCACGTGTGGAGCATGCCGCTCTACTCGGGGCTTCATTGGTTTGGATATCAGGTGGAACAAAGTTGGTTCAATATTTGATAAGTGAGACTCTGCCTTCCTGGTTTTTATCAGCTTCCATGTTGGATCAGGGTGGTGGAGAATCTGGAGTTATGGTTGCCAAGCTAGAAGGTTATGCACTGGCCTTTTTTGTTTTTCTTAGTGCAGCATTTGCCTGGGGTATTGACAATTTGCATCCACCAAAACGACGGGCGAAGGTAATTGGGTTGCATTTGAAATTTCTTGAGACAGCCCTGAATAGGACTACATCAATGCGTTGTTACAGTGCTACTAGTGAAGCCTATGTCTCAGGGTTAGTCAGCTTGATGGTGGGTCGAGCTCCATCGTGGGTCCAGGAAGCTGATGTGGATTTGCTCAAGAGACTGAGTAGGCGATTAAGACGTATGGACGAACACGAGTTGGCTATTCGCCTTTTAGAAATCGGAGGGATTCGTATGATGGGTGCATTAGCTGAAATGATAATTGAATTTAACCGTATCTGAGCAGGCAAACTCCATACGATTCATTAATTCTTTGATAGGGCTTTCTCTTCAGTTTAAAGGGTGTTGTAATACAATTGTTCTTCAGTTATAAATTGGGCAAAAGTTACTTCGACCAAATAGACTAAAGAGATTGTCTAACTACTCAGTGTAGTCAGACTACAAAGATTTGGCACATTGGTTATTACATCTACCATGTAAAACAATGCAAAAATATCTTCTTTGCAATGAATTTGTTACCTTAATCAACAATTGGTTAAAAAGCACAACAAAATTTTATCAAAATGTCACGATGGAATACTCTTTTGCACATTTCATTACAATTCTGGATAATTTGGCTATCATTTCAGGTGTCATGTGTCGTTTTTTTCTTCATGTTGTCCCTATGATATCTTTATTAGCGTTCACTTAGTTTTTCGTGGATGATATATGTAACAAAACCTCTGCGTGCAAATTTCGTTTGCACCAATTGAATGCAACGTCACTGTAATCCACCAATTATTTGTTTTCAGTAGTATGATATAATTCTCATACAGTAACTTGTCTTAAATCATTGCAAGCACCCCTGAAGCTGATGTCAATCTATCTATTAAGAATGGACTGCATTGCTGCAAGAAATTCGTTTAGAATATGCTGGATTGATCCACGGTAATTTTTACCTCAGTCTTGTGAGTTAGAAAGATGAGAAAAAGAATTTTGAAGTGATTGTCTTTGGCGTCCATACGGATGTCTGTATGTAGGCTCTTAGCTTCGTGAGGGTACAGGGAGGGTAATTGTATATAGCACTTTTCTTGCATATAAAAATGACTGTTTTAGATTAGAGCTCATAAGTCGGTTTGGATATTTACTCTAATAATTAAAAAATTAATATTCCATATTTATTTATTCAAAACTAACGATCATAAGAAATCACTAGAATAAAACTATTATTTACACATGATTCCAACAGACATTACCTAGTATGCCTTCCCACCAATTTATTATTGCATCATCGTAATTAATCTCCAAACCGATAACTGAACGATAGAATTTGCAAAGTTTGAGGGAAGTTGCAGGCTGGGGAATGAATGTATGTGTTCTAAATGGTACGATTATATGCCTCAAACAAAGCGCAGCTGTGAGACTTCATTTTATAAGTAAACAAACCTGCTCTCTGCTCAGGGACAATTTGACCACTGGTTGAGAAAAAGCCGGGAAATGGAAGACTTGTGTCAACTAAACGGTACCATGACATCCCTTCTGGAGGCAAGGGTAAAACTATAGTTTCTGGATGATTAGCTGCATTGAAAGCAATAAATAGATCCCCAGATATATCAGAAGATATAGAGCTCTCTGGGAACTCTGCTACTTCAGCCTTCAAATTCATGGCAAGGAACTTACATGATGGGTCTTCCCATCTTGGGGGAGACCCATCACTTCCATACCATTCAATGTTTTCTTCTTTTAAGAAGCTCCTTCGCTGAAGAACATCCCTCCTTCTCCTTCTCAGTGAACTCATGAAGAAAATGAATTGTGAGGTTTGTTTCCCAAAGCCTGTTGTCAAAGTACTCCAGGTGACAGGCTTTATATCATTATATGCGGGAGATCCACCGGAGGACTGGGCACACTCATCTCCCATGTTCAGAACAGGTACTCCTAATGACACAAACAAGATGAAGAGGAAGTTACGGATTTGTTTGAGTCGTCTTTCAAGGACGGTGATGTTGTTAGTAGGTCCTTCTTCTCCACAATTCCAACTTAATTCATCATCACTGCTGAAGCTAACCATGTCCACAAGAGAAAATCCAAAATTCCTGGCAATGTAATTAAAAGAGAATGCAGGGCCTCGTCCACCAGAAAACATGTCTCCACTCCCACAAAGTCTTGTTGCAAGGTCGCTAAGAAGACTTTCACCCCTTAAAAATTTCCTCACATCATTACAAAAATTTGTATTCATTTCAGCCCATCTCATCCAATGAGGAAAGCGAATTTCCTTTGCTACCATGTCATGAGGATTCCAACAATCTGCAATGATTTTAGTTTTGGAGAGTACTGGGTCAAAAGCAATTGCTTCAACTACTGGAGGTCTAGACAAATACTCCCCATGAAATCCCCTCAGCATGTGTGAAGCATTTATGAAACAGAATCCATCAATGTGAAACTCAGTCACCCAATGCCGAAGACTATCCAGAATCAAATTTTGCACAATAGGATAGTTACAGTTCAAAGCACTCTGTATCTTCAAATCACCAACTCCATTTGTTAGATAGTAGGATGAGTCATCAATTCCCTGTAGAGCCCCAACCTCGGCAGTATTTGAGAAAACTACTTCTAAAAGAACTTCTATCCCATTGGCATGCATAGTTTTAATCATCTCTTTCATAGAGGCAATAGTAGATACAGGGTCACCAGATGGTCCATAAATGTGCATCAGTGAGAAAAAATGGCAAGGAAAATATGGTCCTTTTTTCTCATCAAATGTGAAAACCGGCTCCAGCAGAACAGCATTCACAGCTAGATCTTTAAAATGCTGAACCTTCTCAGCCAAACCAGTAAAGGTCCCAGCTGAACCACTTGGAAGTTGGCTTGACTCATGCTGTGTAAAGCGCTTGACATTCAACCTATAAACCACTAGTTCCTCCATGGACAAATCCGGGTGAAAATCACCACCCCAGTCAAAAGCAGGTTCCTTCTCCAACCATCCAAGATTATCCATTAGTCCAAGACCACCAGGATATGAATTACCAACAATCTTAGCATAAGGGTCCAAAACAACATGCTCAGCAGAACTATCACCCCTTTTCTGCATAAGAACACCCTGTCTGCAGCGATAACCATAGCTCACAAAATTCTTGACACTCTCAAACGATACGTGCCACATATCACCTGACCTATTCACATAGGGATCCAAATCAAGCTCCAAAGCAGGCTTCTCCCCACCCTTGTCATCATACAAGCACAAAACCACACTCTCAGCATGTCTCGAAAAAATAGCAAAATTCACAGACCCATCAGGAGAATAAGAGAACCCCAAAGGACCCGGGTAGCCCGGAAGCAACCCAACCGGCACGCAAAAATTCGTTCTCCTATGGCTTCTAATCTCCAACCCTGCTTCCAAAGATGACATCAAGAAAAATGACAAGTACAAAGGAACATGTTTGGCATCAAATTCCAACTCAACTCCAATCTTGCCACCAGAAGTTTGCACCAAGGGAGTAACATGCATCCCCTTCGCCGCATTTCCACTCAAACCATTCGAATCCAGATCCACAAAACACGATGAATCACCTCTATATACACCCCAACACAACACCAACGTTTCACTGTCACCACAACCATTCACATCCAACGAAGAAATCTCAATGTAAACAAAATACCTATCTTTCCTGTTAGTGACATAAACTTTCACCGAACCGCCACCAGTTTCAGTCCTAAACAAATACGCCAACGCCCCTTTTAGTTCTTCGGCTCGGGTCAAGGTTCCGACTTGCTGCTCCGTTTCCTCAATGGACAACCGTGACGTGGCACACAATTTCGAAGTGGGGTTTTGGTAAAAGGGGATAACAAGGTTTTGCAATCCAAGTTGGTGATGTTTCCTTTGGATAAAGGGTTTGTGAAAACAAAAGCATTTGGCTCCGAATTTGTGTTGATTGAAGGGAATCAGTGAGAATGAGAAGCGTGACACGAAACTGGCCATAGTTGAATCCGAGGAAGGAGATACAGTAGTTGCTAATTAAAGCATTGCATTAAGTTGGACTGACATAGACTACAGCAAGTTTATTTTTTGAGTGATGGAAACTTACGTTGTCAATCTGAAAGAGTAACTGAAAGAAGGAACACTAATGTGACGGTTACGCTGAAGACACACCTGTGGTGCTTCTCTTGTTACCGTCAGATATTTGAATGTCATAAGGAACGGTTGAGATTTCTGACTGTTAACTGGTTGGTCCGGTTGGGATTGATATCCAATTACTAGATTTGAAATTGCAATTTGGTCCTTCTGTTACGTGTCCTCCAGTTTGTTAGCTTGTCAACTACTGCCACAAAGTTGGTACGAATATCTAGCGATTTCTTTATCATGACTATTTCTCATTAAAATTTTGATTAAGCATTTTTAATGAAATCTCTTTCTCCATAACGTTTTTTCTTTTATTTATTAACTATTACTTAGTTAATGGCGAATATAATCAACGAGAAAAATCAAAATAAGTGGAAATGATTGATACAAAAAGTTAAAATAGATATACTTTTAAAAACTATAGGACTCATTAATAGTTATTTCTTTATTTTTTTATTTTGACATTATTATTTTCAATCAAACTTCTCGTATTTTCGTTTCTTCATTATTTCTCTCTTATCTACCGAGCAAACCATTAAAAATAGGTATAATTTTTAAATGTGTTTAATTACTTATGTAATGTTGTACAAATTTTATGGCTTTTGGTTTTTATTTTTTAAAATTATCCATTTTAACTCCTATGAATATTATTTTATTTTTTATTCTTTTTATATACCATTTGTAATCTCATTTATTCTGGTTAAGTATAAAGATTAAAGTGTAAATTTTGTTGAAATATATTGGTTATGCTTAAAGCCTACAACTTTTTGTGATGGTTTTTCTAGCCCATAACAACCATTGTCTTTTTCCAAATATCAATTTATAGTTGCTTGACTATTCATGGGAAGATATCTAATTTTGATTCCCTTAACAAAACTTTTTCTTCTTTTTATGTTTAATTTCATTTTTGTTTCAAAAACATATAAAAAACAAATCTTATTCATAAATGATTAATGTGCTGCTCAACACAATCTAATTGTTGTATATTGCCTTAATTCAAATATTATTGCTCAGGTATTATCTATGTCTGCGCATAAAAAAATATAAAATATAAACATTAATGATAATCCTACATGAAATGCTACTTTACATTTTTTTTTAATTCTTGTTGATTTTACAAGTGCTACTTTACTTCGATCGTGGATGCATGAAATGCTACTTTTGGTTTGGATGCTTTACCACTTCACTAGATTTGAATCCCAAGCGGTTGAAATCACTGTAAACTTTTACATTATTTTATAACAGAGGAGGATTTTCTTGCAAACTTAATAACTTCAACACTTGTTATTACAGGTAAAACCAATAATTGGAGAAGATGAAGAAGAATAATGCGATAAGAGAATAAGAGATGGTGTGAGTTGTGTCACATAATCATTCAAGGGACCGCATTGCACCTGCTGTTTGTGTTTTTGAAGAAAGAAAGGACAAGTCTTTGCTGTCTTTTCTCAACTCTCTCACTCACTCCTCACCGTTCCCTTCCTTATCAAAATTTATTTTTTTGTTGAAACTATTTCTGAAACAAACATCTCTTCACTATTTTCCAATGCTTGAATCATTCTAGCTATTGAAGTTTTGTCGTGTGTGGGTTGTCTTGTCTCTGTATAAGACTGCACAAGCACCGCCAAATGAACCAATCACTTGTGCAATAAATTTATACAAAAAGTTGTGTAAATTCTGAGAAAAGAAAGTAGGGTGAAAATCTTCTGTAAAGATAAATTTCTTGCTGATATGTATATAATTCTCAGACTCCTTTTTTTTTTTAAAAAAAATGTCACAGAAAAAACAGTTGTTGTTGTCATGTCAGAGGGTTGTTCCTGTTTCATTACCGAGTCAAATGTATATCTATTTGTCACCGATTGTACACATTAAACGTAGTATTTTCTACATTAATTTCAAGAACATAGAACAAACTGATATTTACACATCAAATAACATTTTTGGAAGGCAATTGAGAGCAACAGGATGCTTCAATGCAATTGGTTTTGGGTATGCTGCATGCTGCATCTCAAATTTCAACTAAACAAGCTGATTCTCATTCACAAGTAATAACTCCAAACCATGAACTTTTCTTGGAATCTAAAATGGCAACTGTACCTCACTGACCGCCGGTTTCACTTTCAGGTTTGCTACTCGGACGAGAAGCTCTAGTTGTCTGAATTAGTGGATTGTCTTCTTCATCATCAATGGCTGCTGGTTTGTCAAAATCGTCGTCCTTGAAAACTGGGTGTATGTAAGCATTCTGAAGGTAAATTCTCAGGTTTAGGTTTGGCTCAACAGCTCGTTCAAGTGTATCCTTCACCATGGCTTCCTGCCAAATCTCATATATGTCAGCTAATACAGGATCACCATTCATATCTGCCTCTCAAACTATATCTACTCAGACTCTGTTAGGATAAACTTTTGAACAGATACTCACAAAAAAACTTAAGTATAATGCATTGAAGTTTTCCTTCAAATAAAATCAAATATGTATCTTCGTTTTGATAAAAATTAAGTGAATAGGTTAACTTTCATTCATGAAAAAAAATTGTACTTTTTTATCATTCTGTAAATACTTGTCAAGAACATTTCAAATAAATTGATCGTTTGGTTACTCCAGCAGCAGATATATCTCCCGAATCACATAGCACATATGGTTAACCTCAGTGTAACATACACAATAATACTTTAACGTGAATGCAATTTGCATAACCAACCTGTAGTGGAAATTTTACAAACGCAGATTCGAAGAGACCTTTACAATATCTGTGGAACCAGAATGTCAAGATGGGTTGTACAGCAAGTACTAGCGTCGACTTTTCTGTACCTCTTGTACTTAACAATCCCATGAGAAGAACTTGAGACATAATCAAGCCAAAAACTACTCGACCATGGACATCTGGCCAAAACGATCCTCCACTCTCGTATTGCTGGTTATACACATTGATAATCTTGGAACAAGAAAAAGAAGTGGTCATTAAGCATTACTAGAAACATGATAATTTTAATCAAACATGTTAATGTAAGAAAAAGTGGGTTAGTAAGTGTGTGGTTTTTGTTTTTAATTTTATTGTTCACACCCAGCTTGTTTAGATATGTATAAATTACAAGAACAAAATACTGCAGCAAACTCTATGCAGACTCACCTGGTGCCGAAAGATCAAGTAGGCAAAACCAAAGAAGACTACAACGAAGGGGAGAAGAAAAGGTGTGACCGGGGCATACACATGCCCCAGCACGAAATAAAACTGAATGCGAGGTTCAGATGTAGCAAATTCCAAGCTTCCGGGATCCATAGCCATCTCTCTGTCTTGATCCGTCTTCACCAAGAACGCGTTTTTCAGGTGGAACATAATTAACGGAGTTAACCTGAGAATCTCAGCAGCAATTCCAGCCCAACCATCGACCATTATGTATGTGATGAAGAATGTGGCCTTCATGGGGATTGTACTGCCAACAGTTTTTGTGAACCTGCAAGTAATATTCCATGTCAGATGCTGCCAATCTCGGTGTCGAAACACAAACTATCTAAACCATACAAGCTCAGAACCTACTCTGTAGAGGGCTGATTAAGAAACTGCTGAAGTTGCTGAAATGCTGTTCCTGTTACTATACTCCCAAGGAATACATTGACGAGGATAAAAAAGTAATATTTGGAAGCTGACCTCCTATCCAAAGCTGAAAGGGAGGTAAAACCTTCCACTTTGGACATCGCCATGAGAATTTTTGGAAGCACCGCAAGAAATATCTTCAATGCTATCCCTGGAAGAAACCCTTGAATGAGAGACTTGATGGATGGCCTGCAACCAGTAACACAGTGCATCAGACCAAACCCATTACATTACAACAGGTAATGGCGCTTTTGATGACACAAAATATTCAACTAAACAAAGCAAACCTTGCAAGTTCCAACCACTTCAATATTTTAGTTTTTCACTCAATTAAATCTTTGTATGCTGCATTTAAGAGTCATCTCAACAAATAAATAAATAAATAAATTCGTAAATATATATTTAATATATACCACCAAGTCTATATAAAAAAAGTTGAATTCTATGTACTATAGTAACAAAATTTAAACTTTAAGAAAGAAATTATGATTAGTATTATTTTAAAATAGTTATCTATTTATAATACATTATTTATGATTGAATGTTGTGTAAAAACCTTTTTACGCTCATGCGTTGCTATACTCATAAAAAATTACACTAAATTTTTATTAAAGTTACAAATAATAATTAATTTAATATAACCTTAATATTAAAAAATAACAACGTTTTTAGTTTTTAAAGTAAATAGCAAAATGGCTGGCATTTTATTATTTTAAAATTAACATGGTAATTGTATAATTTCGTAAACAGAATTGATTTGTATTCTTAATTTTATAAATTAATTTGGTGTGTTATTTAAAAAATATAAAAATTATAAAGTTGAATCGATATCGAGCTCCTCACTCTCTTGATACATTTCACACGTGATTCAATTAATAATGTCAATTTAAAAATTCTTTGAAAATTATTTATACACTTAACTTTCTTAATTACATTTTTTTTTCAATGTAAAAATGATCTTATGTCAATTTAAAATTATAAATTCAAAATATAATTTTCATATTTGAAAATAATTGTTCGTTATAAGTTATTTGAAATTATTTATTTATTAAAAATCTAATTATATAAAATAAATATGTATCGTTTACATATATTGCATATAGTACAGTATTAATTTATATAAATTAGAATGATTAGTAAGAGATATGTAATCAGAAAGTGTGTATTGATATATATATATATATACATAAAGCATCAGAAAACACATTTTTTCTATTCCTATTACTGAAAACGCAACTGTAATTAAATGGCCTGCAGCAAATTGTGCCTTTATTCACCAAAAAAATTGCTTCAATTTTACTGGTAGTTCAGAATTCAGGCACTGATGAATTATTGGTATACTAACTATGAGCATACAAGATTAGTATGTTAAGTAGTAACTGGGATGAGAGTGAGAGCACTTACTTTTCAATTATTGACTTCAAGAAAGGAAAGACCTTCATGATTGACTCAATGTTGGCAAGAGATTGAACCAATGCTATCGGTATCATAAAGAAAAATGTTAGGAAAAATAAAGCAACGGTCATGAGCAATCTTCTCATGTTGAGGTCAAAATATGGAATGGCAAGATTTTCCCAAAAGACATCCCGAGGCTCGGGAGCCCATTCTGTGAGCCAAATGGTGGGATCACTGGTTTGTTGAGTTTGAGCACACACAGCAGCCCCCCATCGTGTTTTGAATGAAACAAAAGCTGCAGGAATAACAGCATTCGGATTTTCTATAACATTTTCTCTTTCTTCCGCTTCCTGTTTCATCAAATTATTCAACACTGGAAATCAGTACACATCAACAGATTCAGCACACCAGCAACAGTTGCATCTTTTGATTTATCTCATGCATGGAAATTAGATGTTCAAGTAGCCTTCATTCCTCATATTTTAAAATAAGAACTAGCCATATCTTAGGTTATGAGTTGCAAGGAAAAACTCAAACCATGCATGCCATTTACAACTTGTAAATGTAGCACTAGGAGTTTGCCGACCTAATTAGAGACGTAAACATAAGGATAATAATCAATAGAACAACCAAATTAGAATGTGAAACAAGAGCAGAGAGTGAAACCAAATGCCCTAAATGTTTTGTATTCCCCTCCATATGTATAACAATGATATATCCAAATGAATATACCAATGATATCCAATTTCTCAAAAGCACAATAGCATTATCCCCACTGAATATAACAATGATCCAATTACCATAATTTGATTACTTCAAATTATTTTAAAAGTGATAAGAGTTGGCAAGATGACCTGATAAAAAAAATATGTAAAAAGAAATTATAATTAAAAAAAAAAAAGCATAAGGGTAACATTTGATGTATATACAGTATATAATATTATCAGTACTTACTTGTTTGCTCAGTTTGTCAATTATGTCAGTATAATGATCAATAGCATCAACTTTATTCCCCAACAAACCCATGAAACCTGTCTATATATAACAAATGAAATGGTGAAACATATAAGGTTATTAGTTGATGCCACCTTATGGCTATTCTCGTGAAATTAGTAAGAGTAATTTTGTAGTAAATCGTGAAAAGAAAGCTACCCGAGTAATTGGCCTCTTGGAAGGATCTCTTTCGAATTTGTTTTGGTAATAAATATACCAGTTTATTAGTTTCTTCTTCTGTGCAACAACTGATGCCAGTTTATTCGCATCATAAACAACCTATCAATATAATAAATCATTCGTTGTTCCAGGAAAGAAAATCGCAAACACAAATTCAAGATTCAAAACAAATCATAATTCCAAATAGAAAGTCCAATGTGTTAATACATTGGGTTTGACCTATTGAAGATATGATTTGTTTATTCAATATATGATTTGAATAGTTTGACTATAAATATGAATATAAGATATATTTAACATATTGACAGATATTTTGTTATTTTATTTAATTTTTATCTTAGTCACTGATATATGAATACTGTAAACCTACGTGCTATCTAATTAAGATTTGATTCCTTGTTCTATTTTTTGCACAGGTGCTGAAGAGTATCGTGAACGCTTTCTAAAACCGTATAGTCAACGTTTCACCGGCGTACTCCTTTGACCACCATCTTAAGGATTTTATAAAAGGGTTGATACCCCTAAAAAGTTTAATACCTATTAGATTTCCAGGTTTTTTTCCACAATATTGAACTTTCTTATTTTTAATCAATGTAATATTTTAACTCATACGTGAATTATAATATTCTTCTTTAAATGTGATTTTCTGTAAGTAGGAACATTCTTCCCTTCAAATATAAATATTTCTTAATTAGGAACACCTTCATAATAAGTTAATATTTCTTAGTGAGATACACATATATCTTATGAAGACTCTTACTAATATCACTATTTATATTAATGGAATATATTTTACGTAAACAATAACTCTTCTATTATACTCTGATTAAAGGGATACCACTATTAAATTTTTAGTAAAGAGGTTAAGACCGCTACAGAGTTTAACACACCACATTGATGCCTTTAGTTGCTCCTTCATATGTTGCGCCATGTGTTATCACGAGTCATCACTCTCTACAAGCTTACGCCTATCCTTACTCGTGCGGAATCATTTTTCTAACTCAACCCATCGTCTAACGACAATGTTGTTGTGTCCCCTTGCGCTAGCAAACCCCCTCTACTCTTGTTTGGGTTTGTTTGGTTGTCATTTATTGTTTTTTGGCCACTTGTTTATTTTGGCAATGTCTCTAATGGTCTCTTTTATTCATGATGATTCTCCTTATGTCTCTAATGTCTCTTATCTTGTGTGAAAAACTCATCGATCGGGTTAGCCAACTACAATATGTGGGTTGTAGTTGTCAAGTTATGGTTCCAAGGACAAGATCATAATAATCAAATGGTCATGAAGGTGCATCAAGGACCGAGCCTATTGGGAAAAAATTATGTCTTATTGTGCAACATACTTTGGTTCTCTATTGCATCCAACCTTCAAATAAATAGTCCTTTAGATGGTTTGTTAAATCATCTTGTAGTCCAATAAACCGTAAACTAAGTGTAATAGTTTTACAAATTTTTGTTACATTAGGTAATTAAATAAGGTCTTGTTGATACTTTATGTATGCTTTGCAATGTGATCTTTCCGGTGTAAATAATTTTCTTCTTGTTTTAAATATAAGGTTTTGATGAAACTTTATGTATGTTTTGTTATAAAAGGAGATATTGAAATGGTTAATAAAGTTAAAAACATCATAATTTATGTCTTCGTGGTAAGATTTGTAAAAAAAAAAAAAATATCATGACAATATGGAAGAAATTCGAGTTAATATATATGACAAATTGTTTGACATGCAGACTTTGTTTAAAATAATAGTTTACTCATTCAAGATGACAAAATTAAGAATGGTTGTACACTTTCAAGATAGATGACAAAATTGAGAATGATGATGGAGTAATTAACAAACTTTAACAAAAGATTAATAATCTTGAGAATGATAAATTGAAACTTGATGATGAAGATAACACTTTACTTTTTTTCTAATGCTTTTCCTAGAACATTTGAGCTTTTCAATGATGTTTTGTTGTTTGAAAAGGAATAAACCATTGCTTTGGATGAGGTTTAGACCTCAATTAGGACTAAGGAGCTCCCAAAACTTCAAAAGTCTAAGACATATGATAATAAAATTGGCTTAAGTGTCTCAAAGTTCAAGAGCAAGAAAAAGGAACAAAGGGGAAGAAATTCAAGAAGTCACTAGAGGAGAAGAAATGCCTAAAAAAGGGAAATAAGTTCTCAGTTTTCTTGCTAATCTACAAACATTACAATTGTGTATGATGGTTTCAAGTATGTAAGAGCTTTGATAGCATCTTTCATGACCACAAAAGAGTTAGATCATGAACTCAAGTTTCACCTCTCACATATGTGTAGTAAAAGAGTTATTTGAGACCTTAAAATTGAAGGAAAGAAGCATGGTTATCGTTGGGAACAATAAAGCTTGTAAAGTGAAAGGTAAGGGATCGATCACACTAAAGATATTTGACAACTAAGAGATATTGTTGTTGAATGTAAGATATGTGTTAAAGTTGAAGAGAAATCTTTCGTCGATAAGTATGTTTGATCTCTAAGATTTTCAACCAAGATTGAACATGGTACAATAAAAATTTCTATAATGAAATATCCGCAGTTGCTAAAGGGGTCAAAAGAAACATTATTTACATTCTTGATGGCTCAATTGCGATTACACGTACATTTATTCAAATGAGGCAAGATAAGATAGTTGTGGCATTTGAGAATGTGACATATGAGTAAGAGAGTTTTGGTAAAGTTCGAGAAGCAAAACCTATTGGATGACAGTAATCTAAAGAAGTTTCAATTTTGTGATAGGTGGTACGAGAAAGTCTCATAGATTAAAGTTTGAGATTGGTAAACATATATCTAATAAGGAAAGGATTAAGAGACATTTAATTGTTAGGTCTTTCCGAGGGGTCAATAACAGAAAGATTCTCACAAATAAAATTTGATTGAACCATATAAGAAAATATGACACAACTCTTAACCAAAAATTTTAAAACATTAGATTATGAGTTTTTCCCACTTATAAGTTACTCAACTTTTTCATTTCTATCAAATGTGAGACTTCAAACACACTTGAATTCTCAACAACTCCCCCTCAAGTGTGATTCCCTTTCACACCACCGTTCAACTTAATGAAGCTCGTTTGCTCGAAACCCTTATGAGAAAGACTTTCGACATAAGGAGTTTTCATATATTATAATCATACAGGAGTTTTCACCTACTATAATCATACTCAACTGAGCTAATCACCAGATAAACCATCGGACAACAGGGAGATTCTCACAAATGAAACCCGAGCCAACCATATAAGAGAATATGATATCACTCTCAACCCAAAACATTAAGATATTAGTTAATGAGTCTTTCTCATTTATAAGTTACTCACATTTCTCATTTCTATCCAATGTAGGACTTCAAACACACTTGAATTCTCAACAATAATTGCCATTGGAACTCCTAAAAAAATAATTTTAATGAATAATATCATTTTGGAACAAGTGAGGTGTATGTTACAAGGACCAATAAGTGTCTCTCAAGCATCAACTTCTCACTCTAGAGGCCAAAATGTGTCAACTTAGATTTTGACTATTTGTTTACACGTGACAAAGAAAGATCAAACATACAAAAAGATTTAGGTATGATCATCTTATTTGTTTTGTCTTTAGTGCAACTTGAAATATAAAAGGTTCAAAACCAAGAAGTTTTGGGGAGGCATGTGAGGGGATTATAAGTTAGCAATGGTAATGTGCCATTGAGAAAAAAGTTGAATTTTTGAAGAAAAATCACACGTTGACACTTGTGAACTTACCTAAAAGTCAAAAGTTAGTTGGATGCAAGTGGGTATTCTATGAAGGAATACCAAATGTGGAGAAAGAAAGATTCAAGGTAAGATTGACTGTGAATTATTTTAGTCAAGTGAAGGATATTGATTATAATGAGATATTTTCACATGTGATAAAACATTATTCGATAGGATTTTGTAATCAATATTTTTAATCAATATAATCTGAAATTAGTACAAGTGGTCGTCGAGATAGCTTTCTTGCATGGAGACTTGGAGGATATTGTTTATGCAATATGATGAGGGGTTTGTTGAGGAACAAGAAAAGTTTATCTATTGAGAAAATTATTACATGGATTGAATAGTGTTCACGCTAGTGCTATAAGATGTTTGACGATTTCTTGTAGAGGATGAGGTTCATAAGGTGCACTTATGATTGCTATGTCTATATCTTGAAAAGGGAAAACAAGTGTGATATTCTTGCTCTTGCATGTAGATGATATTCGTATAATTAGTCAAGATAAATAAGAAATTGGAAGGACAAAGGAAAAACTCTAAATTTAAGATGAAATATAGGTTTTACAAGGTGAATAATTGGGATGAAGATATTGAGGAATTACACTATGAGAGTGTTACATTTATCTTAACAAGCCTATTTGAATAAGGTTATGCAAAACTTTAAGATGTACCAATCTAAATCAGACATACACATTAGGGGCATCACACAAATCTTTCTATTTCCTAAACTCCTAATTTTGAGGAATAAACAAAAGATATGAAAACTATGTCACATGCTAGTGGAGTACAAAGCATCATGTATGGAATGGTTATTAACATACTCAATTTAAACCATACTATCAGTGTTGTTAACTGGTTGATTACAAATCTTGGATGAACTCATTAGGAAGCTTTGAATGCATGCTAAGATATTTGAACAAAACGATATCATCTAGTCTGATATATAAATTATTTACTTAAAATAGAAAGTTAATTAGTGTGAAAGTCAGTATAGGATTCGAACGTCATAAGAATGAAGAAAAAATTTCATAAATAACATGATATTATCTTATTGTTTATATACGTACGATGAAATTCATCTGTTTTTATTAAGAATTTCTCACACCAAAAAAGAGTACAAGCAAGGTATATATATAACTCCGTAGAACGAGAAAGGAAAAAATATGTCATAATTAAATATAATATAAAGTGGAAAAAACAAGATTTATTATAGAAAAACAATTATGCTAATGAAGTCATTAAAAGATTTGTAAATGCATATTATGCAAGGAATGTGAATACTAGAAAGTTGTTTTCCTAGTATGCATTCATATTGTTTGGGACTACAGTTTGCTAGAAGGAAATTTTAAGATCAATCATGTCATTATTAAGTAGTCAAACATATAATATCTTGCTAACTAGAAAAGCAAATGAGGTTGTACAATTCAAGGGGATGACGAGAGAACTAGGTATAGTCCACAACTATGTGACTATTCATTATAACAATCAAAATATTATACATTAATTAATCATCGTATTTACCATGAGAGAACTAAATATATTGATATAAAATGACACTTCATTAAAGATGTTGTTGAGTCTGGAGGTTGTGATTGTGAAGATAACATATGAAGATAATCTTACAATTGTGTTTAAAAAATATTTATCCTGATCTAAGTTCAAACATTGTTTGAACTTATTAATGTTTCACTTAAGGATAAAGGAAAAGATAAAAATAGTAATTATGAAAAAAGTTTTCTTAGATTTGCAATCAAGGTGAAGAATTGTGAAGATAACTCTAGATCATATTGTCTAGGTGTGTTACACAATGTACATTTCTATTTATGTGTATCAGGCAATAAGTGATGAATGAGATCATCTAATAAATTGTCTTCTACATTGCCTACTAGGTCATCTAGTACTATTGAAGACAATAGATTATGTGTAATGATTTTCTAATTTTGTTACATTAGGTGTTTATATAGAGTCTTGTTGATACCCTGTGTATGTCTTGATAATATGATCATTGAGTGTAAATAGTCTTCTTGTTTAATACAAAAATGATTTTTCATTTTCATTTTTTATTTATACATTGTTACAAATCTAACAATTCAATAATAGAATGGTACAAATCTCTTCTATTAAAAGTATTCCTAATATAGATTCAAGCAACATGTCTTGTTGTGTTAAATGATGATCACAAATAGAATGCTTGTGAGTAAGAAATGCTTCTAGTTAATGGGAAACGTACCAATGTAAAAAGAGCTTGTATATAAGGGGAAAAAATATTAAAGTTCAAGTGTAAGTAAGAAGCGCATATTGTATAAATATTGGTAAGATGAACAATATATGAAAAGAGGAATATCGATAAACCTATTACCTTACCTTATGTTTGAATAATGGATTTCAATATTTTAAAAAAATTAAAATACATTAAATATGAATTACTCTCATTTTATTTGGTTTAATTTTTCACATTGTTTGAATAAGATAACTCTGCTTTATTGAAATTTTATTATTATTTTGTATAAAATATTGTAATTACCACCAAATACAAAAATCACAACCACTTTACCTATAAATTTGGTCTAACTCAAAAGGTTTGACCCTCAATCCTATGAACCCAAGTCGAGAGGGGTAGACCATGACAAACTGAGACAAATCAAATAATCTTAAGATAGGTCAAGTTGTGTTAGGTTGAACTTGGTAAGATTAGGTCATCTAAGTTAAATTATACTAGATTGGATTAGGTCGAATTAGGATAGGAAAAGTCACTCTAAATCAGATTTTTTAAGTTATATCATACCAGATCGATCTTAGTTGAGTTGGACCATATTAAGTTTTGGCCTAGACAAACTTATTTGAGTAAGGTTAAACTTATTTGGATTAAGGTAAATTGAGTCAATTCAATCACGTCTTAACCTAAATCCAGTTGATGACATATTAATTAAAACCAATTCAAAAATATTTTGATCAAATTTGAGATAAAGAGCAAATATATAAAAAAATATAATTTAAGTCATATTATATATATATATATATATATATATATATATATATATATATATATATAAACATGATTATTGTAAAAGTTACACATCCATATAAACATCCTACTATTTTTTAGAATTTATCGTTAGACAAGCAAAAAAAATAGAAAAGGTAAAAAAATTTAATAAAAGTAGAAAATAGAAAATTTTAAATTTATATTTTTTTTGGAATTTGAGTTTATCTAGTTTAACTAATTAAATTATTATCGTAATTCTTGTAATACATCTTACCACAATTATTCTCTTTTCCTTCTATTAAATATTCTTATGTTGTTTTCACTCATGACTCTGAGATTAAAATGTGCTGGCACGGGTCGAACTCAAATACTATGGGTTTATGATGCTTTATTGCATAAATACATTTATTTTCCCCATATTCTCGGGTCACCCTTTATGTAAGCACATAAGAAGAGGATGTGATAATTCCGAAAAAAGAAAAACATATACTTTTGACCGATTATGTCTAATTGCAATTAAGCAACGTACCTGATGCATCAGATAGTGATCAGGATGGTTGACATAAAAAAAATGTTCGATGTGCTCAGAGACTGATTCATCTGGATCTGGGGGAACATTCCTCACTAGCACCTGTGAAAAATGAGTGGTTATTATTACAAAACAACGTTCAGCTTCAGGACAATTGGAAATCGACTGCAACTATTAGCTCAATTCTTCCAATAACAGAAACAAGAACAAAACATGCATATATATACAAAAGATAAATGAACGCCGCAATTAAAACTCTTTTGAAAAGTAACCCAAGAATAAGCATATAGTAATTAACAAAGAAGACAACTAGAAACATCTGAAAAGGATAGTTGGCTAGCAAGTCTGCTAAAAATACTAAATACAAATACTAACTTTCAGATCATCGCATTTAATATTCAACATAGAAGACAACTAGACAAACATCTGCAGATGATAGTTTTGCTAAGTCCGCTAAAAATACTACACCACGGATTCTAACTTTCTGTTTGTTATCTGTTTCTGTATGGTATTTGAGGAGGGTCTCAGAAATAGAATATCACCAGACCACTTTCAATCCAAAGCTTGAAGATAAAATCTTTCTCAGTTCCTCAACTTTTTCCTTTCTATTCAATCTAACATTTCAACTTCCATTTTGATTCTCAGTAATTTCAGATCATTAATGTCCTATTAAACAAATACAAGGTGAAAGACTAGTATCATGTTTAATTGTAGAATGCATGGCATGAAAAGAGGCAGAGAAGAAATCCCCATCCATGCACATGACTGCCGTTGTGTATGCTGGCACGCGACCCTATCATAGCAATAGCATATATTAGCATTAGATTCCGATTTTTTTAAAAAGTTTACATGGATGCAACAGAACCTGATATTTTAAATAAATTCCCTCCTTTGAATTACAGGAAAAAATATTCAGTCAAATGTTGGACCACTGTTCCGGGAATCTGAGGGGTCAGCCCCGCAAAAAACCACATGATGTTCAGATAAGATCAACTTCGTAAATATGAGTAGTCACTCACTTTATATAGGCAAGAAAATGTATCTGTAGGAGCTAAAGCACCATATATAAATGTAGAAATTTTGGTACCAAATTTTCCGTAGTTTTCTTTTTCTTTTTTTATGAAACGGAGGTGAAGCAGCAAAGGTAGCCAGTGAAAATGAGACTAACTTACAGTAAATTGGTCCGGACGACGACTTTCAGTTGCCAAAAAACGCAATCTCATTTCTGCAATAATCTTGTATTCCTTGTAGAGACTATAGCATGTCCAAAATGTGAAGGCATATGACATTACAATATGCGCCCAAAACCTGGAAGAAAAAAGTAAGAGTGACCAAATACTCCAAATATTCAAATTAAATTCACATTTATCTAGGTTCTTATTTTAATAGATTTACTTAAATTAAAATTTATATTTTTAATTAATCTTATCTAACTAATTGGATTTAGATTATATTTTTTTATTTAAAAAAATCAAATGAAAATTTATGGTAAGATCTCATTTTTTTCAAAAATATTTTAATAAGACATTTTTCACTTTATTTCTAAAATGTCTTTATAGTTTTGATCACTTATAAATAGTTGTCGGGTTGACCTTGACCGAAGTAAGTAAATATTCTTTATTCAAAGATTAATATTAAAATAAATAAGAAAGGTTCAAAAAATAATAAGTCAGTAATTATATTAAAAACAAACACACACATAAAACATCCATATGTGTTCTATTGCACATGGGCAACAAATGGAAAAAATTATAAAAAAAATAATAATTAAGCAATAAGAAAATACTTTACATAAAAAAAACTTCAATTAGAAACATCAAATACTTGTATTTTTTTTCTGTTGAACCGTTATGTTATTAGACACGGTATATAATCACCCCTCTCCCAAAATTAACAATTTAATTTTATAAATATCTTAGTTATTTAATAAAAATATAATAAATTAATTAATCCAAATAAGAATTAATTTGAATTGATCAGATAAAATTACCTTGATTTTAATATCAATTTTTCTAAAAATTAAATTATTAAATGTGTATAGATTTAATTTAGTTTAAATAAAATTAAATTTTAATTTAACAGATAAAATAAACTCAAATTTATATAAATTCTATCTAAATTAAATAATTAAGTGAATATAAATATAATTTAAATTAAATTTTAAAATAATTTTGTCTAATTTAATAAATCTAAATATCAAATTCAATCTATTTTAATAAATTTGGATTAAACTTTTAAAAATCAAATCCATATCCATATGCATCCTAAACAAAACGACATGAAATTTCGAAATATCAAACGACATGGATTACATGACAGGAGATTCAAAACAAAGGGTTGTTAGACAATCATACCTTTAACATACATCCATTATATAACTTACTTTATTAATATTATGATCAATAAGTTTGGCATAATGTTAAGAATCCACATTGTTTGAGCAAGAGAAAGAACTCAGAGCTAGGACAATGTCATAAGTATCATCTCACCTATCTGATCCATATGGAATGTTTGATATTGAAATCTTGTCAATATCGCTAAATGTCAAATTCTTAGCTCCGGCTGCTTCCAATGTGTTCCCAGTCCAGTTAACAGGAACCAAAACCATAAAAGAAAGCAGCGTAATTGGGGCAAATATTTTGACCCTGTACACGAGTATTCCCATTAGAGAAAATTATATATAAAAAAAGAAAAAGGATCAAACTGTTTAAATGCAAGACAGTATATTATCAGATATCATGGTCTCTTTTAAACCAATTAAGTTGATGTGTACATATGTACAATTTCAATGAGATACTTGGCGCACGACTCACCCAAGAAGATATATCCGAATATACACTGCTGAGTCAAGGCCTGCATGATCAATAAGTTCAGGTTCTGGCATATGCAATGCTGCAGGCATCCAGTTCAGAAACCTGATGTAGGTCCCGAAGTCCAAGTTAACAAATTTCTTTACCAACGTGGAACCTGTTGGGCTGCCTCTTATCCCCTTCAGATACCATTTTGGGAAGTACACCCGGTCATTAAAGGGCTGAAGCCGCAATATTGCAAACGCTAACAGGAATATCAATGCAGACGACAGATTGATGGCTGCCGAAAGGCTAATATCAGCAATAGTCGCCATTCTCTTCTTTCTTAAAGCTTAATCTGTATCATATACGAACATCCCAAATTGGTTTTCCATTTCCAACTATCAAGGCATACTATATGTTAAATATTGTTAAAAATTGACACAACTTCTAAGAAAATAAATAAATGTGTATGCTAGTTACTAGTAGAAATTATAATATGATTATAGAAAAAAAAAAGTGTAAAAATAGAATAGTCTAGAAACAATAAAGTTAGTGGAAAATTTTAGAATCTTGTAACTAAAGCCTATATATAAACATGAAGGGAGTCTTTGTATGAGTGGTGCAAAACACTATTAATCTAAAAGTTTCTTTTCTATTAACCATTACTCATTCTTTTGCTAAAATCCTTAACTATCTTTCATCCTTAAACATTCCCAAATAAGCCTTTTTCATTTCAAATAAAATCTTTGTTTTCCTTCCATTATTTAACCCACTTCCAAAATACTAACAGTGGTATCAAAACTACGTTCGGTTATCTACTGGACGTAGAGAAAAATTTTCGACTACCTTAAAAAAAACTCAATCTCACTATACATTACTTCCAAAAGAAAAATCACAACCTATAGCCACTACCAACCAAACATCATCCATTTCAATCCCTATTTTCAAAGGAGAAAATTATGATTTTTGGAGAGTCAAAATGAGAACATTATTTGTTCTTAATATCTTTGGAACGTCATAGAAGATGAGTTCATTATTCCAGAAGATATCTCAACTCTTACACTTGCCCACAGGAAGGAGCTGAATTAAAAATAAACAGAAGGATTCAAGAGCATTATTCACTCTTCAGCAAACAGTTGATGACACTATTTTTCCAAGAATAATGAGTGTCATAAGTGCAAAGAAAACTTGAAATACAATACAAAAGGAGTTTCAAAGAAGCGATGAGGTACAAAATATTAAACTCCATTCACTAAGAAAAGAATTTGAGTTAATAAGAATAAATGAATTTGAGACCATAAAATATTATTATTCTAGAATAAAAGAAATACTTAGTCAGATGAGAGCCTATGAGAAAAATATTATTGATAAGAAAATTATTGAGAAAATTCTAATTTCTATTCCCCAAAAATATGATGTAATTGCAAGCTGCAATTGAACAAACAAAAGAGTTATCTACATTATCGATAACACAACTAATAGGCTCTCTTGAAGCATATGAACAAAGATTAAAAATGCGTTAAGAAGACTTAGTCGAAAATACCTTTCAATCAAAACTAAAATTACGATCTTAGAATGAAGAAAATAAAATTAATAGAGAACTTTTTAGAATAAGAAAAACTCTAGAAATTTTTCCAAGATTATTCAAGGAAAATATCCTTCATGTGGCACTTGCAAAAAGACAAGTCACTGGAAAAAACATTGTTGGCATCAAGGAAAACCTCAATGTCAATACTGTAAGAAATTTGGACATGTGGAGAAAATGTGTCGCAACAAAAATCATCAACAAGCAAATTTTGCTAAAGAACGGGATAGAGAACAACATATTTTGTTCTGATAATGAATCAAAAGGAAGATGGTACTTGGACAGCGGGTGTAGTAACCATATGGCGAATGATCCAAGCATCTTCAAAGAAATTGATAACTCCATCAAATTTCAAGAGCGATTAGGAAATGACACCGTGGTAGAGTCAAAAGGAAAAGACAGTGTTATGGTGGAGACAAAAAAAGGTATGAGACTTATCAATGATGTCTTACTAGTTATCAATCTTAAAGAAAATCTCTTAAGTATTGGTTAAATGATGGAGAAATGATATATTCTCCACTTTGAAAGAGATACATGCACTATCTATGATAAGAAAAATCTAGAGATTGACCAAGTAAAAATGGAAAAGAGAAATAGAAGTTTTCCTATAAGCTTCAATCGAGGAACGAACATTGTCATGAAAGTAGAAGTTGATGACTCGTGGCTATGACATCGTAGATTTGACCACTTCAATACTCATGCCTTAAAGCTACTACATCAAAAAGGCATGATGAGAGATCTACCAAGTCTTAAGGAGAGTAGCAAAGCTTGTGAAGGATGTCTTATGGGAAAGCAACATAGATTACCATTTTCTACGGGAAAAACTTGGAGAGCAAAAGACTTGTTGGAGTTAATCTACACAGATATTTGCAGACCGATGAAGATTCCATCGCTTAATAACAACAGGCACTTCATTCTCTTCATTGATTATTTTTCTAGAATGACTTTGGTCTACTTCATTAAAGCAAAATCAGAAGTATTTGAAATATTCAAAAAAGTTAAGGCCCTTGTCGAAAAGCAAAGCAGAAAATAGATAAAAGTACTCAGGAGCGATCGAGGCAAAGAGTACACCTCCCACAAATTTGATAAATTCTATGAGGATGAAGGTATTGGGCGACAACTTACAGTCGCATATTCTCCATAACAGAATGGTGTCTTAGAGAGAAAAAATCGCACTGTCATGGAGATGGCAAGATCAATGCTAAAAGAGAAAGACCTACCTAATACTTTTTTGGCAGAAGCAGTCTATACTACAGTTTACATACTAAACAGATGCCCAACTAAGACAGTCCAAAACAAGACTCCTATTGAATCTTAGAGTGGAAGAAAACCATCAGCTAAACACCTACGAATATTTGGATCAATTTGTTACATACATGTTCCTAATCAAAGGAGGCATAAGCTTGAAGACAAAATTATAAGAGGAATATTCTTGGGATACAGCCAACAATCAAAAGGTTATCGAGTCTACAACCTACAAACAAAGAAACTCGTCATTAGTTGAGATGTTGAGGTTGACGAAAATGCTTCTTGGAATTGGGAAAAAAAAATTGTTAGAAGCAACATCATGGTTCCAATACAACAACCTGAAGAAGAGACAGGAGATCCAGGTACGCCTCCACAAGAAGAAGAAGAAGAAGAAGAATATACTTCATCAGAATCTACACCAAGACGTATAAGATCTTTGGTAAATATATATGAAACTTGGAACATGGTCATTATTGAGCCTTCCTACTATGAAGAAGCTTCAAAGCAAGAAGTATGGGTCAAGGTCATAGAAGAAGAAATCAAAATGATTGAGAAGAATAATAATTGGGAGCTTGTGCACTGTCCTCATGGAAACGATATCATTGGAGTAAAATGGGTATATAAAACTAAGTTCAACCCTGATGGAGCCATACAAAAATATAAGGCAAGATTGGTCGCAAAAAGATACTCACAACAACCTAGAATCGACTACAATGAGATTTTTGCTCCAATTGTTCGCCTGGATACAATTAGAGCTTTAATAGCCCTTACTGCACAAAAAGGTTGGAACATTCATCAATTGGATGTCAAATTTGTCTTTCTCAATGAAACACTTGAAGAAGAGATCTATGTTGAGCAACCACAAGGCTTTATCAACAAAGGCCATGAAGGAAAAGTATTAAGACTAAGAAAAGTTCTATATGGCCTGAAGCAAACTCTTCGAGCATGGTATAGCAAAATTGATAAATATTTTATCGATTAAGGATTCAGGAGGAGCAAGAGTAAGCCAACACTTTATATCAAGACACAAGGTTAGTATAATCTCGTTGTCTTCTTATATGTTGATCTCATCTATACAGGAAACAATAAGGAAATGATGAAAAAATTCAAAGAAGATATGATGAAAACATTCGGAATGACTGATCTTGGCTTGATGAATTACTTCCTCGGGATAGAGGTGATACAACAAAAAGAAAGAATATTTATCTCTCAGAAAAAATATATTGAAGCTCTACTAAAGAGATTCAAGATATACGGATGTAAACCTGTCATTATCCCTTTAATGGTAAACGAAAAGCTAAAGAAAGATGATGGAGCAGTAGAAGTAAATGTATCACGATACAAGAGTTTGATCGGAAGCCTTTTATATCTCATAACTACACGACCAGACATTATGTATGCTACAAGTCTTCTGTCAAGATTCATGCAAAAGTCAAGCCAGATTCACTATGGAGCAGGAAAAAGAATTTTAAGGTATCTGCAAGGTACAAGAGAGTTTGGTATATGGTACAAAATCATGACCAACTCAAGGATGATTTGCTACACCGACAGTGATTGGGCAGTGTTAAGGTTCCAACATAAAACCAATTGGCAATATGAGGAGTAGCCTAACATGTATTTAAACCAAACCAAATGATATGAGGTAGGCAATGTGGGACTTTCAACACACCCCCTCCAACGAAGCCTGCCGGACCAGACAAAGGGTACTTTTGACCCAACTAAAAGGCAACTTTTGGCCCATGACAATAACCGGAAAGATGTTAGGCTTTGGCTCTGATACCATGTTAAGGTTCCAACATAAAACCAATTGGCAATATGAGGAGTAGCCTAACATGTATTTAAACCATACCAAATGATATGAGGTAGGCAATGTGGGACTTTCAACAGGCAGGATCAATAGACGACATGAAGAGTATGTCAAGATACGTCTTCTCACTTGGATCAGGTTTTTTCTCATGGGCATAAAAGAAGCAAGCAATTGTAGCATAATCAAATGCAGAAGCAGAATACGTAGCTACTGCTGAAACTACAAGTCAAGCAATATAGCTACGAAGAATACTTGAAGAAATGGGCGAACCACAAGATGGATCAACTACTATCTATTGCGACAACAAATCAGCAATAACAATGACAAAGAACCCGGTTCATCATCAAAGAACAAAACATATAGCTATCAAATATCACTTTATCCATGAAACTGAAACATAAAAACAAATTCAATTTCAGTACTGCTCAACAGAAGAACAAGTAGCAGACATATTTACAAAGACATTGTTGAAAGCAAAGTTCGAACAGTTACACAATATGCTAGGAATTAAAGAAGTTTGTATCAAGGAGGAGTGTTAAAAATTGACACAAACTTCTAGAATTATGTAGAAAACATATGTGTATGTTATTTATTAGTAGAAACAACAACATGATTCTAGAAAAAGAAAAGAAGGAGAAGAAGAAGAAGAAAAAAAAATGTGTAGAAATAGAACAGTGTAAAAACAATGAAGT